ATTCTTATTTATTTAGAGAACCTAGTAAAATATAAATAATATATATGAAAAATACTAGATTACTTATATCTTATTAGTCTCTAAATAAATATTAAAAAATCGGAATTTAAAGTTATATATATAAAATATTTAGGCTTTATTATTTCTATATCTAGTATTAAAATAAATCCTAATAAAGTTAAAGTAATATATAACTAGTAATTCCTAAAAATAGTTAAGGATATATAGTTCTTTCTTGGCTTCTATAACTTTTATAAATACTTTATTAGAAAATATAGGCGAATTACTAAATTTCTTATCTTATTTATAAAAAATAATATTTCCTTTAAATAATTCAAGTAATACTAAAAGGCTTTTACTTGCCTAAAGAAAGCTATAATTTCTACTCTAGTTTTATAATACTATAATTTAGATCTATTTATAATAATAAAAATAGATATATCTAAAAAAGTAATTACTAGCCTATTCTTTTAATAAGATCCAGAAATAGGCCTTTAGTATCCTATAGCTTATTTTTCTAAAACTATACTTCTAGTAAAGCTTAATTATAATATATATAATAAGGAAATACTTATTATAATTCGAGTATTAGAAAAATAGAAAACTAAGCTAAAAAGTTTTTAGAATACTTCTTTTAAGATTTATTCTAATTATTATATTTTAGAATACTTTATAACTACTAAGAAGCTCTTTTTTTAATAAGCTAAATAGGCTAAGCTCTTATTTTACTATTATTTTAAGCTTATATATTATTCTAAAAAATTAAATAAATAAATAAATACTTTATTATAAAAATAAAATAAAGTAAATACTTAGGGCCAGATTAAAAAAAAGCTATAAACTCAAGTATTTCTCTCTAAAAATAAGATTAATCCGGAAATTATTTATAACTTATAGCTTATAGTAATATTTTATAAAGTCGGCTTACTTAATCCGGAATTTGGCCCCGAAAACCAAATATATACTAAAGACTTTCCGGAAAAGAATATTCTTATTAAAGATATAATTCTTCTAGAAAAAGGTATTTTCTTAGAAGCTTTACTAATAGACTCTATTATAGTAGCCCCTATAGAAGTATTATTAGAGACTCCCGCCAAATATAGTAGTTTATAACTTATAAATAAGATCCTATAAAATAATTATATATTATTAGATCTAGAAAAGCTATATATAATAGCCTAAGCTAAAAGTAATATCTGGATATTATAAGACGGCCTTCTTTTATACTATAGAAGACTTTATATTATAGAGAATAAAATAATTCCCGGACTATCTTTATAGATTACCCTAATTTATAAAGTATATAATAAATCCCTTTCTAAATATTCTAGATATATAAAGCTTTATTAGCTATTAAAGAAGTAATATTACTAGCTATCTATAGATAAGGATATTAATTAATACTATAGTAATTACTATATTTATAAGAGATTATATATATCTAGAAATAAAAAGCCTAGTTTATTTTATTTCTTTCTAGTTCCTAATTACTTATAATAATATATTATTATAGATTTTAAAAGCTATCTAGAAAGTAAATCGGGCTATAATATAGTTATTATATTTATAAATTACTTATTTAAGTATCTAATTATAATTCCCGTATAAGATATAATTATAGCTAAATAGCTAGTATTTCTATTTTTATTTTATATAATATATTAAATAAGTATTCCAGAAATAATTATATTAAATCAGGGACCCTAATTTATATCCGATTTTTAAAGCAAATTCTATATAAGAATTAATATAAAGCTTAAGCTTTCTATAGCTAATTATTCCTAAACGGATAAATAAATAAATATTATTAATTAATACTTTAATTAGAGATTATACCTATATATTAATTATTACTAGAATAACTAGAATAAATAGATTACTATAATTAATTATTAATAAGCCTCTCTTTAGTACGAAACTATTAGCTAGTTCTTATTTATAACTAAAAAGGGCTATAAGCCTTATATTTCTCTAAACTAGAACTCTCTTATTAAAGCTAACTTATTTAAAAAGAAGCTAAATAGAAATAAAGCTAAAGTATTAGTAAATTAATTATATAAATTATAATAACTTACTTAAGGCTATATAAAGTAAGTATAGGAATAATATATAGTATAAGCTAATAAATACTATTATCTAATTAATTTCAAAATAGGAAATAAAATATAAGTTATTATAAAGTACTAGAAATTCAATTATCCGAACCGGAAACTTAGGAACTAAATAAAGAACTTATTTGAGATTCTAGAATAGTATAATTACTTATTTCTTCTAAAACTACCAGAAACTATAAAGATATATCTAGTTTTCTATATAGAGAAGCTATAAAAAGATCTCCAGAATTCTTTACTAGATTAAGTAAACCCGGAACTACTCCTATTAATACTAGAGAATAGTAAATAAAGTATGGCATTAAACGGGTTATTATAATTAAGCTAGTAAGAAATAGGCTAAAGTATAGAATTTAATAGATTAATTAGAATAAAGATCCAGTATAGTATTTAGCTTTAGTACTAAGTAATAGCCCCCTGGTTTTATAGAGTTTTTATAATAATAATATTAATATATTAGGACTTCTATAATTTTGTAATACTGGCTAGACTATATAAAAAACAATACTTATTTAGAATTATACGGAAATAATAATAAATCCTTCTAGGTTATATAATAAAGGCACTGGCCTTTTATATGTAATAGCTATATCCGAGACACTTTGGAAAGGAAAATAGTACGAAATTGGATGAATTAACGGCTTTTACAAAGCTCGGGAACGAGCTTATTCTAAAGGGGGGAGTAATATTATAATTCCCAGATACCCGGTATCTGAAATGCCTTGCCAGATACCAGATGCCTCCTAGACATACGTAATATGGCCGCCTTGCTAGGGAAGCATGCTTGGAATATACTAGAGATACTTAGAAGGCTAAACCCCTTCGGGACTAGTATACTATAGGGTATATATACTCTCTTACAGCCTCTTATATTCTAGTTTTCCCTTCCTTAGCTTTAAATCGTCTTTATAAGGGACCTTCTACCTTGCTTTCCAAGCCCTGAATACCGTACCCGTAATACTATACTTATGAGCTTCCCTTCTTAGTTTAGAATCCTCGGATTAAGAGCTACTTTACCTGCTTTCCAAGCCCAGAGCCCGGTTTCGTAATATAGTATATCTTACCCAGGTTTTTAATCCCGCTACTTATATGAAAGCAGGATATAGGAAAAGGCTTTTAATTATAAATAGGTATTCTAGCTATATTAATATAGAGTTTATACGAATATATAATTACCTTAAAATTCTGCTTCTTATTTTATCTCTATATTTAATATATTATCTTTAATCTCTTAATATAGGCTACTTTTTACTACTTTCTACTTATTATTTTACCGAGATTAATAGGCTTTTAAATACTAGTAAGGATATTTCTTCTTTAATAAAAAGGATATTTTAGTCTGTTTTCAAGCCTGTTTAGGATAAAAGTATATCTAAATTAAATATTTTATTTGCTTGAAATAAAACAGGTATATAGCTATACTAATTATTAATTATTCTTTTAGCTATTACTTTATTAAAGCTATAAACTTTTCCAGAAGCTCTTCCTAATATAATTATAACTTCTTATACTATAAAACATATATGGTAATTCTCAAAAATCTATATAAAGAACCTATCTAAAGCGGCCTTTTATAAGCTTTCTAAAGCAAATAAGTCGAATATAGTAAAGGCTTCTATTATAGAGTATTATATAAAGGATTTAAAAGAAGCTTTATAGCTTGAAAAGAAGAAGAGATATTAAGGGAAAAAGCTTAATTTAATAGGAGAGCCTTTAGAAAAGGCCTAGTTCTTTGAAATAGCTAAAGTACTAGCTATAATACTATTTAAGGAAATAAAGATTATAAAGGTAAAATAAGATAAATTAGATAAATAGAAGGCAAAGGAAGATATAAAGATTACGAAAGTAATAAAAGATGCCTTAGAAAAGCAGGAGAAGGAAGTAGAGAAGATAAGGAAGGCGAAGCAAAAAGAGATTAATAATGGAGTAAGGAGAGAGAAGTATAAAATAGAGGTTTTGGAAAGGGCAGTAGCAAGAAAGGCAGCTACGGTAGCTAGAAATGCTACTAAGAAAGCCAAACCGTCTCGTATAGTAATATTGAGGGTAGGGTCTTCGATTTTATCGAATTTAGGGGCTCAGGAAGCGGTAATTATAGAGGAGGACGATTCTAAAGCTATAGGGATAGTATAGATATCCCGATTAGGAAGGGAGATTATTTTACTATAACGTCTTAGAAAATGAAAAATCCTGATTAGCCAACTTAATACACCTAGTTCAATTACTCTATATCTTTAATTTTAGACCGATTAATAGTGTGGTTATTTAATAATTAATTAATTAATTAAGTCCGAGGTGGGCTGAAAATTTGGGGTGTGTATTCGCTTGGGGTGTGCATTGGCCTTGGAAATCGGTTACGGCCGACGAATTGCCGACGACTTCACAGGGCGGCCAATTGGGTCAGCTCCTGGTTCTCATGATTGGTAATCCGGCTTCCACGGCTTGCTGCTTTTACTTTCTCCAATCGTGATAGTATGAAGTATTGAGCGGGGTACCACCAAGGGCGGCAACCAATGACCAACCAGACTTGGATTATTCAGCGTTCGGCCACGTTAGTGATCGGGTCTGGTTATGATTGCTCCGACTGGCATTCGACAGCATGTTTCAGCAGGGCCTTCCTGCGCAAATGCCGTTATAAATCTTCCGTTGGTGTTAGTTTTGAAATGATCAGCAGTCACCAGCAACTCTGCTCCTAAGCCCCTGGGCATGCAATCGGATTTATAATACTGCTTCATGTTACAGTCCTCCGTCGAGGGATTCAATTCTTGATATTGTAACATGTACACGGGCTAGAAATGGATCTGCAGGAGTGGCGGTACCCACGCAAGACTGTCTACAACGAGGCAATAGGTTCCATGCATGCACAGCCATTTGATTTGGCAGCACGGAACGATCAATTATAGCAGTTTGAGAACGCAAGATTCATGGACTGTGCAGTAGGTTGAAGTATCCACTCTTAGAACCCATACTGTATGTAATAGCCCTTCGTCTCCTAGAATATTCACCTCAATCACTTCAATATCACCTTCAATCGGCCACAACAGAATCTTCAAACCTTCTCTCTCCATAGTACAATTGCTTCTCACTTTATACTTCAATCCTCAATTGAAGCACACTCACGACAGATACAATGGCTCAACAAGTCGACCCCGATCAGTTTACGACCCCTTTCATGCCGACCGCGACCAAACGTCGTGACCCATACCCAGCTATTGACCCTTCCAAGCCATCAAACTCACAGAAGGGGAAGATCATAATCATCACTGGAGCTAGCGGTGGACTTGAAGCCGTAAGAAAATCCCCTTCACGATCAAACGTCTATAGCTAAGCTTTTGTCACGGCCTGGACAAGCTGTGGAAGTGGAAATGTAGTGTGTTTGTGTAAATATATGTATGAATGATCGTGCCCTAATGGCGGTGAAGAAGCTATATATACGCCTGTGCGCAGCACGTGACAGCTTTCCAGGCTGCTGCAAGGGTCTGGGCTCGTGCAGGTGCTACTGGCATCGTGATCGCAGCACGAAGAATTGATGCACTTGAGAAAATTGCGACCGAGCTCAACAAAATCAGCCCATCGTCCAAAGTTTTACCTGTCAAAGCAGACATTACATCCGAAGAGCAAGTGAAAAGCCTCTTTGCCTCAGTGCAGACCACCTTTGGAAGACCGGCCGATGTTTTGATCAACAATGCTGGATATCTCAAAGATGACCAGCTCATTGGAGAGACTGCCCCAAACGAGTGGTGGACTGGAATCGTAAGTTCTAATTCTTGAGACATTTGGGGCACGCCTAACACCTCTTGAAGGAGATCAACCTCAAAGGTGCTTACATATGACGCACTACTTCATCCAAGCTCAGCCCGAACCCAAGAAACCAACTGGGACGATCATCACCGTTTCGTCTGGACGTGCAGGAATCACGGCTGAAGGAGGTTCAGCATACAACATTAGCAAGATCGCAGAGCAGAAACTCAACGAGCATCTCCAGCTAGGTAGGCAACACCCCCGCTCCCCTTCCAAGTTCCCAATTCTTTCATAGCCCAATCTAACAGACGCGAAAGAATACCCAACCCTTCGAGTCTTCACTACAATGCCAGGAATCTCACCCACGGAAATGGCAACCCCTTACTGGTTGCAGTTTGCGCACGATCACGAGGATCTGACCGGCATGCTCGCGCTGTATCTTGCGCAGCCGAGAGCAGATTTCCTTAAAGGCAGTATGGTTGGCGTGAACTGGGATGTTGAGGAGTTGGAGTAACATAAGGATGAGATCGTTGCTGGAAAGGTCTTCCAAACGTCTTGGTTGCCGATCTTGCCATTCAACGGTGGCAAGGGATTAGGGGCTTAAGCGAGATAAAATAGGGGAGAGGAGGTTTAGCGATATTGTGTTTTCTTTAGAAAAGCGTTCTAGTTTAGGCTAATAGAGTTTCTTTTTCCTCATATTAACTTCATATTTGGTTCAATGCTTATGCGACGATTGTCTTAACTTGGAGAGAGATCCATCGAGAAGCCCAAGCGACTCACTTGATTCACTTGAATCACAGCACTTCAAGATCAACAGCCTTCTCCGGAGGGGAAGACATATTATGCCCTTTGAGCTAAACTTATAACGGCCTGAGACATCCGACATCCCAACACTTTCACTTTGGCCGCAAAGTTGCTTAGATCTTTTTAAGTGTTCTGTTGGGAAAGAAAGGGTCGTGTGTCACGTGGCAATCGATTAAGTTGGCGATCAAGTGGGATAGACTAAAGGGAGCATACATTTTAAATGCAACGAATAGTTTTCAGGAAAAGTCCTCATAGTTTCGAGGAACGAGATAAGTATGCCTAATTGCAAATGCGCTAATAAATTTCTAAGCTACCGTGACACCAAGATGCTGAAACAAACCCGCTAAACCCTAATAAAACAATTTAGAAGTCAAAAATACCCAGACTGTCCATGTCCCCAACCATATTCTATGTGTTCGATCTTATCCCACTCTTTGCCACCGTTGATGCTCTGCTTACTGGCAGAAAACTTCCCACGAGTAGAAGTTGACGAGAGAGCCGGAAGGATACTGGCAATCTCCCACAGTCGGATACGTGATCGTGTAACCGCCGGTGGCGCAACTGTCATCACTGTAGACCTTGACTGTAGCAGGAGTCAGTAAGCTGTGTCCAAAACTTGAGCTTGGGTGGAAATACCTTGGCAGTTATAGCCCGTAGCAATGTGATCGATTTTGAGGTTGTAAAAGTCTGATTTGTGGCAAGCGCTGTGGGTTCCCGACGGAGTGTTTGGCACAAATTCGCTTGGAGGGGGGTGGCCTTGGTCCACCCACCACCAGCATTGGTTTTGGGAGCCAGCCTGGAGAGTCTTGTAGAGACTCAGGTCGATGACGGACCAGGTTGGTGGTGGTTGTGGCACTGGATCTCTTTCCCCGATGGCTGGGGCTGCGCTGGCTGTGGTGGCCAGAAGACCCATGGAGACGGCAGATGCAAGTGCGGTAAAGGAAACCATTTTATAGGATTTGAGAAATCTTTGAGGAAGTTGATAGAAGTGGAGTTGAATAATGAGACTTGAAGTTTGGACTGCTTGTTGATGGATACATAGTTCGGGAGATAAGAATACTCTTTATATAGAGTTCACACAGGTAATAAGTCTACTCTTGCCTTCATACGAGCTGGTGAGGAATGCCTAACGCCATGCGTCATGTCGGTGATGGGATCCTGCCTCACCCAGCCTCTCCCAGAGCCCTTGGCCTCATAGTAGTGTGCCTTGTGATTTGTTAAAGAATATTCCGAGCAGGCACATACCGTTTTTGCTCACCTGATTTGACGGAAAATATGCAAGATGGGAATCGGCGTTGTCATTGAGCACACGAGGCTCAGCAGCCGCTGAGCTGGGCTTGCTCGTGAGAGCGAAATAGTTACACGACGGAGGCGCGGATATTTCTGACTGAAGTCCTGAGCCACTTGGTTGGATGGGAGTATTTGGGTCTCGGCCGTATTTTCCCTGACGCACATCCGAAGATCCTCTTACCTTAGGGCGCAAAGCTGGAGTATGGGGCCAGCAAATACGCAGTTTGGTTGTCCTCGGCATAGCCTCGGAGTGGCGGCATGCCAAGCGTGCCAAGCGTGACTTGTAAGGCTGGAGGAACAGCCACCCTGCGCATCACAGTTTAGATTTATTTTTATCCCCGGCATGTTCTGTCTAGCTTTTAGACATAGATCTTGGAATATGGCAGCGATTATCTAATACTCTAGCATTGTGGGTAGCAGTTTGCCTATGTACCCCGCTTATTTGACATTTGAGGCGCAAGTCAATTGAGTGAAGTCAATTCCCAGCAAGCTGGGGTTTGAACCTTAATTACTAGGGCGTTATCATTATTGTACGAAGTATTTTGGCTCACGTCATTCCAACCAAGAGCGAACAAGAACTTACACAACAGATTCCCAGCTGGAAGAGTCGCAACGTATCATGAGAGCCTCTGCTGACACTGGCACACGACTGATTTTGAAGCTCCTGTAACCGGAGAGCAGCGTTCTAAATATAGGCGAACAAAATCGGTAGTCCAGCCAATGTGCAGTGCAGTCTTGGCTTGTGGTGGCTTTGAGTAAGCCAAAGCGAAGCCTCACGGAGAATGTTCAACGCAACTTCGCGTGGCATCAAGGTGAAACCTCATCGGAGGCAGTCATCAGCGACGGTTTGCATGTTGCCTAAACGTGAACACCTGACGTCCAGTGTCGATCATCGACGAGCACATTCCTGTGCTTACAGACGAGGGGACAAGCTACTGTATCGTTTGATGCACAGTTCATGTGCCATCTGAGAGCAGATGTAAAGGAGCCAATGAACAAAAGAACTTGAATACGAGCTTACAAGACTCTTTTCAGGACGGTTACCCCTCTTTGATTCGAATACGAACTTACAAAACTCGTTTCACGATGCCTACTCCGTCGCTTCTTTCGAACGACTGTGAGCTGACGACACGAAAGCTCTCGGCTACATTAGATATCCTCACCGATTGCTCGCAGGCTCTTAATCACATGAAGATATTTCTGGACAAGACCTGATCCATATAGCACCTCAGCGGGAATGAACGCACAGATCAAGGAACGGGCACATGACGAGACTTATTTGGAAAGTCCAGAAGAATCTATTCATGCTAGTAACTTGGCTGCATCTTGAGATGCACCATACCTCCGATCTTGGCTTTTAACCAAAGCTTCTCTTACTCGCCTCCGATAACTGTACCGCGCCATATTGAAGGGATGCAACTATATTCTAGCTTGTGAACGTACAATTTCGAGCCTTGCCCGGTACTCGCTTGAGCGGAACGCAGCAAGGCTCGGATTTGCAGCCCTGGAGAGGAAAGGTACAGCGCACATCTTGAGACCATGTCCAATACTTCATCCGCAAGAGATTTCTAGCGAGGAAGGGATGGGTTGGGAGACACAGCTTCCTCACAAGCATCGGCATCCGATATTGTTATAATCTTGAGTGTAGACTTGATCTTTGTAACTTAGAAACTTCGAGGAGGAAACCTGAGGAGCTGAGAAAGAGCAAAGATCAGCGAATGATCCAAACTCGACTAAACTATGCTGTGAGAGAAGAATCTACCTGACTATGCAGCCACGGCCAAGCTCAACTTGGGTTCTGACGTTGCTCGGAAACTTGGGCATGATTTGAACAATAATAAATCTGAACCGAAGCTCCGGCTCCAATTGAACCAATGTTCATACCCAACACTCGGAGCAGCGCCGGGGAATGCAGCGTTTCCCTACTGGGCTTGACTCTGCAGTGGAACTGGGCCAGGAAGCCGGGGTTCGGGGCTTCATGTCCATCAGGAGACAAATTGCTAGCTAGTAGAGGACGTAGATTTGGAAGGCGCCATCCAAACGCATCCCAGTGGCCATGGCCACCTACAGGCGGCTCTGGTGCAGCCACAGCAGCCACAGGACCTCCAGCGCCTTGAGGGGCGTGCCGCGTGGGGATTCTGGGGAACTGGAGCCCCAGGAGCTGGAGCTTGGAATTGAGGAGCTTGGAATTGTGGCGTATAACACTGTGGAGCTTGACCTGGAGAAGGTGTTTGTGCGCCGAATTAATGCGAGGGTTAGTTGTGTGCTGACATCTTGACTCTTGTTTCGAGGCGTTGCTGTAGAAGGAAGGACGAAGGAGGGTAATTTTTGAATCCAAGACTTTGTGCGAAGCCATGATCTCGAAGCGAATTCTGCAAAGGTGAATAGGAGATAGAAACGGCTGCATCGGGGAGGTGGTGGCAGAAGCAACAAACCAGAAAAGCACAAAAGTAAGATGCAAGAAATTGGAAGAACGACATATTGTTGCCTAAGACTTGGATGATTCTAATAGAACACAGATTACAGTTCGCAGATTCTATGCTGCAAATCAAACCAAAATCTCACTCCTCATCTTCGTCGGGCTTGATCTGCTCAACAATAAGATTTCCACTCCTCCCGACTCGTTCCCCAATCGTCCCACCCTCAGCGACCTCGTACACGACCCTAGGGAGTGTCTGCACAAGCCGGAAATCAAATTCATGCTTGTAGCCTTCTGGCTTGATGACCTTCGTGCTCACAGACTCGTCGCCGAGGAACTCGTAGCACTCCACGAAAGCGTAGAGCTTCTCGATGTCATCTTGCCCCTTAAATCGTCGTGTAACCCTCGCGGCCTCCAGATGTTCTGGCATCTTTATTGCTATCCGGACCACGTCCTTCGTGTCTGCACTTGGCTCTGGTTCGATTCGTGATGCTCGCCACTTCCGCCACTGCAGCTTCACCTTTGCCAATGTCTCCGCAGCCTCGGCTTCTGCTTTTTTCCTCCTCTCCCCCTCTGCGGCAGCAGCTTCTGCCTCCTTCTTTAACCTGGCTCGCTCTCTGTCCTGTGCCAGTGATCGTTCATAAGCTGAATCTTGCTCCTGCCTCAAGGTCCTCTCGAAGTTCTGCTCATTTCTCGATGCCCGTACTCTGGCCAATTGCTCCCCGTGCGTTGAGATTGTATTTCGGATCTTGGCGAGATATGTGCTTGCATCCATCGGCCCAGTAACTCTCGCAATGACGGACATATTCGTGCTGCTTACAGCGGGATCGTTTGCCACAACTGCTGTGAATGGGAACTTGTTGCAGTGCAAGGCGGAAGAAACTTGGTAGGCTTCGGAGTCTCGAACATCGCCAGTCCAGAGAATTATGTTGGTCGATGGGTCGTTGATGAAGGTCTGGACTTCGGCGGAGAGAAGGGTATCTCGGATAAAGGAGGAGGTGTCGTCGTGTTCGGGGGAGAGGAGGATGATCAGGAGGAACTTGAGGTCTTTCTTTGCGAGGTCGAGTGCTTGTGCGTATCCTCCTTCGAAGAATGGCAGACTGTTGCTTCCGTATTCCTCCTCAAATTCGCGCTTTAACCGCGCCGACGCGTCTCTGGGTTTCAGGGACCTCCTTCCAGCCGTGTTGGCTCTTCTTGCCGTGCCAGCCGTGGTAGCCGGACGTAATGCTCTTGGCAGAAATGGGAATAGGAAAGAGAACAGCCCGAAGGATGTCGAGAAGAGTTTGTAGAGCATGCTGAATGGGGCAAAGAGGAGGGCGAGGAGGAAGGGTGGTCTTCGGACTACTTCGTCATCGGCTTGTGGGACTATTCGAGGCGCGGAGTCGGATTGCCTCGGTCGGGAAGCATGGCCATGCAGCAGACTGTGTTGGAGGTTCTCTTGTCTTGCAGCTCGAGGCGGAGGGACACTCTGTGCTGCGAGAGCTTCCGCCACTAGGTCAGGGCCTTCCCCATCGAAGAATTTGGCGATTGCTATCTGTTCCAACATCAGCACATGCATGCGACCGCAGAGAAGCTGCAAAACCTCACCTCAACATTCCATTGCGAGCGCTGCAGCAGCGGAATAGCTGCGTTGACGTCCTGGTCTGTGACCGAGGTGTACTGCTGCAGGGCAAGCTGCTGCGATTCTGACAGCCGGCTGATGTCGATGTCCGGTGTCGCCATTGTTGGAGAAGAGGGGTGGTGGTCAGACAGTGTGTGGTCTCAGACAGACATGTCAGGCCGCAAGGTGGGGGCCTTCACAAAGAAACGAGTGTATGAGGGTTATTAATACGGTTGGAGGGAATGTTAAAAAAAATTAGGATGTCAGTCCAGATGTCAAATGCAGGAGCAGAGTCGGTCATTGTACAGATATCGTCCTTGCAGGGATTAATCATTAGCCCCCATCGGCGCCGGATTATCCTGCAACACCGCGCGCTATTGCCAGAGCCGACTAGGGTCAGCATCAGCCTTCTGAGGCTGATGCCAAGTATGCGAGGACGGCCCCGCGTAAACCCTGAACTGCAATGAATTGAGTGATCCTCTCTGCTAAACACATCCACCGATCGTGTCGAGGAATTGTCACAATGCATCTGTGACTGCCTCCCCCCTTTCACCGACATAGCAGAACCTCTTTCTTCTATTCCTCCTCGATGGGCCAAGCCCCTCCAAACTCGAACCGCAACCTGGGAAATGTTCGCCAGAATCAAGTATGTCAGCTCCTACCAGAGCCTTGCCTCGATTCCCTCAGCCTGCCTCCAAACCGGCCGAGTCCCCGTCCTCCACCTAACGATCTGCATCGCAAGATACTCCTTTGTTAGTCGAAGGCAATTGCTGGACACGGCTAACTCGGGAGTACAGGGTTCGTAACGTGTCCTAGGGGTTGTGGCAGATAAAGCAGGAAGTCGGGCGAAGAACACAGTACAAGATGGCCTCTACCCGATTCAATCAGCCCGACCAGCGAAAGGTTGCAAGTTCCCCGAGACCAAAGGGACGAGGTACGTGGGCTCTGCCGATCGCGGATCTAGGTAAAGACAGGACATCGGGGACTGATGGAACACGACCTAGATAATGCAAAGGATACTCTTTGCAGAAATGTGTTGATATATGGCCATTGTCGGTATGAGGATCAAGGTTGCGCTTTCAACCATGATCCAAATAAAACCCTTTCATTGCCATCTGATATGTAAGTGTTTTCTCTTCTTTCCTGCTGGACTTGGACCTCAGCTCAGGATCGACCGGACTGGCTTGCTCGACTCTTCTCGACCTCCCGAGGGGCAAATAAGGACTTTGCAGACAGCCAAAAACTTCGGCCGTCTGTGGAGGAGCGGTATCACAAGTATCTGGAGCATTTGCGCAAAACAACAGTGCCTCCGGTACACATACGGACGCCCTTCAATCGCCCCACGAAAATCTCCAGGCTTGGACAAGGGGGAGAGACTTTGATCTGCGTAGAGGAGCATCAATTTGCTGGGTGCTTAGTCTTCACTGGCGAAGACCTGGGATGACGTTTATCTGGACCCAGGTGCTGAGCACCTCACCACCTCCTTTCATGCACCACATTTTCGCTTTATAACTTCAGCCATTCTCTGAACACCTCTCCGAGGAGCCATCGAGCAAGCTTCACTCGCAGCTTTGCTGTCGAACGCTCTTATATCTCGAGACGATCGTTCAATAGCTGCTTCATAAGCAGCGGTATAAGCAGCACCCTCAGACCATCCCTCGTGTGCAGACCTGGTAATGGCACACTAGACCAGGCGGAATCCCTCGAACAGTCTCTCGTTCTCTCCGTCAAGCAGGGCCTCTCCCCACTTGGGCTTTACCAGTACGTGACTTCCCATCTACTTCCTTGCTGGGAGGCGCAAGCTGACTATTCCCAGCATACACATCCTGCACAACACCGCCAACCTCGCTGGACGAATCATCCTCAAATACCGTATGACTGGCTCCTGTTGTACTGCCCATTGTTGCTCCCGTGTTATTCTGGTACTGCAAAACTACCAGACTTGGTTTACGAGCTCGTCTCTTCACCGGCACTGCTGTACCACTTACCGCTTCTTCGCTCGTGCGCCATGCAGCACAGAAACTTCCAGGAGCAAAGCAAATCAGCTGATCCAACCTCCTTCGGCTCAAGTCAAAATTCTTGACGATAGAGGACACTAGAGGTCATGGCTCTTATTGTGTCGGCAAACCTTTGAATAAGCTGGGGCATCTGGAACTTCTCCCCGCCATTCTACGCATCAACGCCTCCACACCGCGGCTGCTTCCCGGCCAGTATTGCCCCGAAAAGAAAACTCCATACTGTGCAGCAACTATACTCCAGCTTCTCTCCTCACATCCCGGGAAGTACCTCCAGCTCCAGTTCCACCGCGTTACCCCGCAATCATCTCTCCATCAACTTCCTTCTCTATCTTCACAGCTCTTGCTCGGGTCCCCTTGAACGCTTCACCCGCGCAAGAATTAGATGCCCCCAGACTGCTGCTACAATTCAGTCCGACGTACCTCCTACACAACGCTTCGAAAATTGATCTCTCCCATGTTTGCCACTTGACAAATAGAGTCATAACTATTATGCTGCAAGTCAGCAAGCACGCGCTAGACGTCTCCCTCGACGTTTAGCTCATTTTACTGGCAAATCCTCCTTCAAACCACGCCTAAGACTTCATGCGGAGTTTTCAACTCTAGCCTCGCACATGCTCTTCCAGAAAGCACTCGCAAGACCTTCTGTACTGCCTCCCTTGGACTCACTCCGTTATTTGCTCTGGCACAACTCTCTCCATCCCCCGGCACGCGCCAGACTTCACATGGCTTGGGCATGCCCCCTACTTGTCCTGCCACCCCTCTTAGCCAAAGCAGCGTCGTTGGATTGTTCTTGATTGTCCATCCACCGTGGATATATTGGTTCGGAATCGATGCACCGTCTATTGTTGGTATTGCATTGAAGGATATCCCGAGGCTTCGAAAACTTCCAGTAACTGTCACGTGCGTCAGCAGGCATCGCGAAGCATCTGAAAGCCTCGTGGGTACCTCGAGAGAATGATGCTTGTTTGGAGATCCTAGGTTCCAGGGCGGTGAAAATCCGATGACTCGCCTGCATGGTTGCGTAAACAAGGTTGACAACGCCTTCCTTGCTCCCTGGAACTGTCCCACCATCGCTCCTCCCCGAATCAAACCGCAACTGTTATGTCCCCATTTCGACAGAGTACGCCCTTTCCCAGAGGCCGAGACCTGTCAGACCTTCCCGCTACACCCCTCGACCCATCCACGACGGCATGGACAAACCGTGTCTACGGCTAGACAGCCCCGATCGCTTCTACGAAAGTCCCCAAGAGAAGACACCGCCCCCACCCAACCCAGCCCCTCCTGCGATGGGGGTGACCGAAACAATTGTTCAACAACTGGAGGACGACCGCTCAATCTCTCCTGACAGTCCGATGGATCGCTCGAGTCCGGGTTGGAGAGACTTCATTACGAAGCAATCGCCGAAGCGTCCGCCGCCACAGATAGGCCCTCTTGCTAACAATCCACTAAACAGGTCGGCGAAGAAGACTCTAAGTGTAGACTCCCCTGCATTCACGCCAGCCACTCTCTCCGCCCCTGGCAAGAGTTCTGCAATATCATCCCAAGCTGTAAATGCGGCTCCTTTCACTCCTCGCGGCTTGGCCAGTGGTAAGCAAGTTCCGCGATCTGCCTCGTAGGAGAGGCTGACAAGCGAAGGCACCGTAACACCGATCCCGCAAGCAGAGACAGAACCGGCCACTTTCAATCCTGCACAGATTAAGGAGTTCACACCGCAGCAGACTTATGATATATCTACAAACGTGAGTCCCACCCCCTTCTCTCTGTCCAGATCGCGCTGATCCTGCTCCAGCCTCCCGCCAACGGCACTGCTCCAGACGCGCAGATGCCCTACGATCCGTTCTCCATGTCTTCGGTCGCCGACGCAATGCCTTCAGCACCGTATAACCCATACCTTCAAGCAGATAACAGCGCCATGCCAAGCAATGGAGCTGCTTACTACCAAGCCCAACCATCGTTCGCCGCGCCCGCTCAGCCAGTGGGTCTCCCAGTGTTTATTCTTCCCTTGCTAACGCGTCAAGCTCCAATACCACCTTTACGCCCCTATCGGACCTCACAGAGAGGATCTGACCCCGTACCAAAGAACTGTCCACGATTTCTTCATTCCCAATAGCCTTCGAGAAGACCTCCAGAGAAAGTCCGAGGCCACCCGCCAAGTAATGCCAAGTAAGTCTCCGTGAATATAACAACTCTCTGTATCTAACGAGCGCAGACTCTGGACTCCCTCGTCTTGAAAAGGAAAAATATCACAGCTTAGTCCCATTGGACACTAATAACAACAAGAGCGCTGCTGTCTTTGGTTTCCCAAGTTGGGTCTACAAGGCTCAGAAGGAGGATGGTAAATACTATGTTCTGCGCCGACTCGAAGGTACTTGTCCTGGAAATCCTGGGTGTCAATGCTAACGATCTGCAGGATTTCGTCTGAGCAACGCGGGAGCGATAGGACGTATCAAGGAGTGGAAACATATTTACAACGGCGGCGTCGTGTCTGTTATCAATTCCTTCACTACTCAAGCTTTTGGCGACAGCTCTCTCATCTTCGTCTACAACTACCACCCCATGTCTAAGACGCTCGCTGAACACCATTTCTCGCCAACCAATCGCTACGGTCATCGTGCACCTGCCAACGAACAGGTTCTGTGGTCTTACATTGTCCAAATCGCTTCAGCTATCAAGGCAGTCCATGGCAACAATTTAGCGGTTCGTTGTCTTGAAGCAAGCAAGGTTATCCTAACCGAAAAGAACCGTGTTCGTCTCAGTGGGTGCGCTGTGCTTGATGTCGTTCAGTTCGAGGCCAATCGTCCAATCCATGAGCTGCAACAAGAAGATTTCCTCCACTTTGGAAGGCTCATGCTCTCGATTGCCGCCAATAATCAGCACATCAGCATCAACGCAAAGGTCTCCATTGAGCAGCTTCTGCGTGCTTACACACCTGACTTCCGTAGCGCAATCGTTTGGCTCCTGACTCCAGCTCACGTACCAGCTACGAAGAATATCAATGACTTTCTGGCCAGCATTTCGAGTCACCTCGTATCATCCTACGATGCGTCTCTCCATGCCAATGATGCTCTCAATACCGTCCTGGCTGGAGAACTTGAGAATGGTCGTTTGTTCCGCCTCGTGACTAAGCTTGGCTTGATCAATGAGCGACCTGAGTACGACGGACAGGAAAAGTGGAGCGAGGTTGGTGAACGCTACATCTTGAAGCTGTTCCGAGACTTTCTGTTTCACGCACGCGACCCTGTCACCCTGCGACCACAGGTCGACCTGGGATATATTCTGACCCATCTGAACAAATTGGATGCCGGCTCAAAGGAGGAGATCAGACTTATCAGTCGAGATGAGCAGGATTGTATCATTGTCACGTATCAGGAGTTGAAGAAGCAGATCCAGCTGGCATTCGCCGAGTTGTCCAAGCCGGCGACTGTCGTCAAGGGGGGGAGGTATTAGAGGAGGAGGGCGATGGCCTTGGATATGTATGAGGTATTATCGGTATATGAATCATCAGAAAGCAAAGATATTTGCTTGCACTGACGAGCTGAAGAGCTGCCAGGTGGAATGAATGCAGCAGCGGGGAGAAATATTCAGTGCTCACGAGAAACGTATGCAGAGAGAAGCAAGCAAGCAAGCAAGCAATTATAATCAAAAACATTTGCAAATTCATCGGTTCAAGTTAGTAAGTAGCGCTCCGTAGTCATGGCAAGAATAATTTCAGAGAATCCAAAAAGACTGCAGAGCGTCATGCATCGAGATGCAAATCTCTACATTTCATTCATCGCGATCCTCGCTCCATTGCAAATCTATGCTAAAGCCCTTAGTGTTTCCTCCCATTTTGCAATCGGTTGCATCTGCAGTCGCCATTTTGTTCCCACCGATCCATCATGTAAAGCAGACTTCGCTGCAGCCCTTTGCGTTCCCGTAACCTCTTCGTGACTTCCTCTCCTCGATTGAATCATCATTCCTCCGCCTGCACAAACGGATTCGCTATCTCCTCGCTACCATCGACAGGGCTTACAAGAACCAGTAGCGTTCCTCTCGCCACCACAAGACCAAGGGGACGAGCCGAAGTGTTGCCTTCATCGTCGCGCACAACCTCATCCACATCATCAAGCACCAAGTTCATGAGCGCATCGTAGCCTTTCAGTGTTCCCGTAACTGTTCAGAATATAACCATCAGCTTCAATCCTTCTACCAATTCCAAAGCTTGTGGCGTGAAGAGGGGAGGGAAAGACATACCTTCCCGCCCACCAGTAAACTTCACGCAGATCTTCTTATCCATGTACTTTCCCAGGTCGAGGATGTTTTCTTTCTTTGGCCGTTCGCGATCGCCGGTGTGTCCGCCACCACGGCCTTCGTGTCCGCCTCGAGAGCCACCTCGTCCTCCGCGGTGTTCACCTTTGAATTGTTAGCTTTCTTGTTGCCGCTTCCAGCGGTGGAGGGATGAGTAGGAGAAGGAAAGGAGAAGGATGAGGCGATGAAAAGGGGAACACAAACTTCTACCGCCACCCCGTCCTCCTCGATGTTGACCTCGTTCCGACATTAAGGTGCATGGATCTCGAATGCTCCTTGCTTTTGATGTCCGCGCGGTGGGGTGGAGTTGAGGCTCAAGAATTATGGAGGCATGGACCTCTGACCCAATCGAGCCTAGTGAGCGGCGGAAGATTTCATATCACGTGTCGCAGCGCCGCAACGCAACCGAGGAAGCCGCCGCGGAGGATGGGCATCCGCTCTCCTTCCTTCCTCTCCTCTCTTCACGTATCACCCACCCCACGACGACGGAACAGCGCGCGAGGGAGACGAGAAGGAGTCGACGATTGCAATAATATCTCTCCGTATCCTCCACCCGTGGATTGACTTCGGATTATACCGAGGCCTGCGCGAGGAGGGAATTCACGTGTCCGGTGAAGCAAAGCAAGCACGCTCCGCCCCGCTCCCGCCTGAAGCATCCTGACCACCAGCAGGAATACATCGCCGCCTCCACCGGTTTACGTAAATCAGCTGCTTCCAAAATGGAGTCCCCAAATAGCGAACACCAAGCTGGCCTAAAGCGAAAACGCAGCCCTGTTCCTGGTGCCAGTGCAGAGGAAGGAAGACCTGCTGCTGCATCCGCTGCTGGGGTGCCCAAAATCGGCATCGGGAATGTGACGCAGATCAATTATTTGGTCCGCGCGAAGGCGGAGAGGTTGAGGTTGATTGAGGGGGATGGGGAGACGTTTGCGAATGTGCTGGGGATGATTGATGATTATGAAGGTATGTGAACGAAGAGGCCGGTCACGGGATTTGGGAGCTTGGGGAAGCTCCGCCGGGTTTGAAGCGTTAAATTCTTCCGTTGGATTATTCGATATTTTTCCTTTCATGGGAATAGGATTTTTTGAGCTTTTCTGATCTCTGCAGGTGTTCTCCAACGTCACGAAAGCCTCGCAGCCAATCTTGGTGCCAAGCTCGTTGGTCCTCTGCTGCTAAAGTCCTTCGAGAAGTTGTTCGATGGTCCTATCAAGATCACCTCGCCATCGTTTGGCCTAGATCAATCACCAGTCTCTTGGCTTGACATCGTCACATTTGCTCGCACCAACCCGGCCGAGTTTGTCCTCAGCGAGTCGAATCCTGGGGCAAGGGCTTGTCGATTCTGGATCAAAGGAGGACAAGTCGAGATCACAGAGGATGATTACAGATTAATCCAGTCTGGCGCACCCGAGCGGATGATACCAACACAGCCAATTCCTGAAGACGAGACCGCTGAACTGGGAACACTGAATATCCTGGAGAATCGGCTGACGATGCTTATCAAGAAAGCCGATGCCGTAGCCAGCAAAGCAAGACAGCTCAACTACCACCTCAAAGGACGCAAAGCCGCTGTCTTATTACGAAAGGCTGCAGACCAACCAGTCGCTGATGAGGTCTCATCTCAACATTTCTCACCACAACCATTCTCTGCCGTCAACGCCAGATCTTCAATTCCACCAAACGGTGAACCAGCAAAGATCCAACAGCAGCTCCTTGAACAGTTTCTATCCGATGAACGCCGACCCTCAATGTCACAACCGCGTCCGAAGGCAAGTCGAATCAGCACCGATGCCGGGTTTCACACTTTCAACGGTCAAGAAGTAGATTCTCGTCGCATGTCTCATCCCCTGACCCCCTCCGAAGATGGTACCGAAGGCCAATACCGAATCCTAATGGCTTCTAAGATCGAGAAATTGAGTAGAGGAGACGCCATCTATCCTCCATGCGATCGATGTCGAAGGCTGAAGTTCGATTGCACGAAGCATCTCACTGCTTGTCAAGCATGCACAAAGAAACACGCGAAGTGCAGCTGGAAAGACATTAAAGAAGGAGAATTGGATTATGTACCGCAACTATCAGCGACTTTGCAGCAGCCTCATTCGGCCGGAAGCGAGAATGGCCAGGTTCATGCAGATCATATTGATCCTAGTCTTAGCACTAGAGGTATAGCGGAGGGCCCAGGAGTGGCGATGATGATTTCTCAAGATGGTGAGCAACCGAACCATCAAGAGAAGCAGGACAGGAATTTGAACGATCTTGCTATGTTGACGCATATTGCTGCTGCCGCGAGTAGCAGATGAATGATGAGATAACGATGATGGATGGTTTACGTGTTGTACGATCGTGAAGTCATGGATGAAGAGCTCCTATGACCGGGGTGGTTGCGGGAGAAGTCCTGGCTTATGAGTGTAGACCACGAATAGCTAATTGACAATTCCTCCTCCAACCTCCTTCGCGGAATAATCTATTTTCTTCATTCCAATCCGTATCCTAAATCCGCAAACGGTTACCGCGCACTACCAAAGTGGGAGTTCCCCGTGTTCACTTGTTCTCCAGTCTGTTGTCCAATTCATTCGATCTGGCCTTGTCGACTACAAACAACTTATTCGCGGGGATGCTACGGAGATATTTCTACCCGGCATAATAGTGGCAAATTATTTCCAACTACATGGAACGGGCCGAGATTCTTCCAAATCAGCCAATGGAGTCTAGCCAACAACTTCCAACGCCGTTCCATAAGTTGGTTCACTTCCAAGCCTATTAAACGTACTTCTTCTGCCAACATCAGCTAAGGCTTCGTCGTTGCTTCGCCTCATCCCATTCCCAGTACATTTATAAGAAGGAAGGGATCTCTTTCGGACGGAATGTAGAACACCTTTCTACCAGGTCTTTAAAATGACTTCCCCCAACTCACTCATTTCCTTCCTCCTCGCAACCGCCCATCTGTCCCCTTTCCTCCTTTCCGTCTTACAGTTTTCCACCTTCTTTCTGCTCTTTTTCTTTGTTTCTTCACTAAGCGAGCAAAGTGAGGGGCAAAAGCCGACGAAGATAAAGAAACGACGCCTTAGACGCCCAAATCACAAATTGGCAAAACTGCAGATTTTTATTTAACGGAGATGGGTACGGGAGGCATGGAAATGTGGTGGAATATTCCTGTGTCTGGGGAGTGGTTTAGTGATCGACTTTTTGGCATTTTGCTGGGAGTGGCGGGTGTTATCAGCCTGGAGATACGGTGGGGGAAACGAAGGGATATTTGAGGGGTGGAGTGGGAGGGGAGGAAGTGAGAACTAAAGTGGTGTTAGAGGAAAGTTTGGAGAAGTTGCAGGTAAAGATTTGGGGTTTGAACTTTTCTGCTTATTGGAATAGGGACGTCTCGGAGAAAAGAAGCAACTGTTGAGTCCATTATTTTTGCTCCCGCTCCCATGAATACCTTTGGTGTTCCCGGATTGCAATTCGAGACGCTGGCGAAGTGGCATTGAAGGCTTTCCCAGAGGAAAGAATGATCGGTGCTAGCCATGTGTCCATCCTTTCGGATCCCTCCCACTCCAGACGAAGAACCTCCCGTGAAGATCTTGTTATTATCCATTGTGACTTCAGCGAAAACAGTCAGCCATAATGTTCTTTTCAGAATTTGTCCATGTCGCCCTCGCTCGAATGCTTTGCCAAGCTCGGTTCTCCTTTTGTACACTCTCACAAAACTCCCAAAGTCATCTTCGACCGAAAGATCGAGCTCCACTACTCCAGCTTCAAAGAGTTCGTGCCACACAGTCTCTCGATCTCAACCTCTTCCTCCTCTCCATCAGCGCAACTTCTCAGTCTCCCCTCCTTTCCCTCTTGCGGCGGTAGCCCTTAACCGTTCCTTCCACTGCTCCCTCGCCTTCTCCTCCCTCTCGTCAACTTCCTCGACCCACTTTCTCACACACTGCGGACACCGTCCTCTCATGTCCTTGTACGCCTCAGCAAACACCGCGAAGTCGCATCTCTTGTTTATGGTGATGGCGTTTCGGCAGAGCTCCCAGTACTGATCTGCTTGGCTTTTGGAGGTGGTGGTATGTATTGGAAAGTGATCGATTTATTGATGGAAAATCGATATGTTAGAGGTTGACAATCTGTAGAATGACTAGATACAGGAGAGTGAAGTGTAAAAACAGAGGAAAAGTGTCTAAAGTAAGGGATTTATTCCCATTACCCTTCGGCGATACCGGTAATGCCGAGCCCGCTTTCTCCGATACATTATTAATCAGCTAATAAATCAAAAGTAATCAAAATGACGATATACTAGTAAGCTTGGTAAGCTCAGCGAGTGACGCATGACAAATGAGAGTGGAGAACCCTAAATTAGTGGTTGAACCTGGTGCTGGAAGGACTAGTGAGCTAGCTATGGTAGCGTACCAATTTCAACACGCCTCCTCCTTATAGTCGAGGTTCGACGTCAGTGAGGCTAATAAGCCCCAATTTCGATCGTAGCAGTTCAAAAGCCGGTCTAGGGAGTGGTTTGGTGAGAATATCGGCCGTCATTTCCCCCGTAGGAACGTGCTTGAGATCGATTTCCTTGGTATTAATATGGTCCCTAATAAAATGGTGTCTAATATCGATATGCTTGGTTTTTTGCGAAAATCGGGCGTTCGTAGCTAGATCCATAGCTCCCTGAGCGTCCGTTTTTACCTCGATTAAGCCCATAGGAATCGATATTTCCTCAAACAGTTGCTTTAGCCATAAAGCTTCTTTAATTGCCGGCGTCAGGGCAACATATTCAGCTATAACAGTGGCTATAGCGACAGTTTTTTGCTTGGTACTAGCCCAGCTAATAGAACCACCAAATAGGATAAAAACCATGCCGGAGGTTGATTTGCGATCCTGTAAATCGCCTCCATAATCGGCATCTGAGTACCCTATAAGCCCTTTATTAGACGAAGCGTTATATAGAATGCCCATATCAGGTGACCCCTTAATATATCGCATTATACGCTTCTGTGCGGTACCATGCGATGCTTTAGGACACGAATTGGAACGTCCTAAGTACCCTGCGGCAAAGCAGAAATCGGGTCGTGAAGCTAATAATGGCCACATAAGTAATCCAGTTCGACTTTAATATTTAGTAATATTAATATTAATTCCATCAGGTGCCATAGGTTCGGCCATTGGAGTGGTAATAGGCATGTAACCTTCCATTTAATACCTTAGGAGCATGTCCATAAGATATCGATTTTAGTGTAAAAACACCGAACCATCCCGCAAACGTATAATTTCCATACCCAGAAGCGTTTTAATTTCTCCCATATTAGTCATATCAAACTTCTGATGTAATTGAGCTTTGATTCTATTAATATGGTTCATGTTTTTTCCTATAATAATCATGTCGTTCACGTAAATAGCAATTAGAATTAGTAGCTAATTAATCTCGTATTCCCGGTAGATATAGAGCGCTGGATTACTAAGTGATCGCTAGAACCCAATAGAGTGGAAAAAACGATCAATTACCTGATACCAAACCCTAGGGGCTTGTTTCAGGCCATAAATACTCTTCCGTAAGCGGCAAATAAGGTTCGTTCCTTTGGTAAAACCAGGAGGTTGTTCCATATAGCACTCTTCTTCTAATTCTCCATATAGGAACACTATCTAAACGTCCATTTATTGGATATATAGCCCATATTTAGCCGCTAGGGCTAACATGATTCGAATAGTAGAAAGTCTAGTAACTAGTACGAACGTTTTAAAGTAATCTACGCCATGTTCTTGCGTATAGCCTTGTACTATAAGCCTAGATTTGTGGCGTCCATTAGACTTAATTTTGAAGATCCAGCGGCATCCGATGGTTTTTTGGTGTTTTCGTACCACTAGATCCCAGGTATGGTTCCGCAAATGGGAGTCTAGTTCCTTCTTAATTAAAGGTCTCCAAAGATGGGCATCTAGACCAGAGAGAGCTTCTTTAATTAACGATGGAATTTTGGAAGCTTCTGTATTCTGGTTACTAACTATTAAAGCTCGGTGATCCACTGTTTCCCCGGCAATTCTAGTCGATTTCGGACGTCTAGGGAGTAGTTTACCCCTAAAACTGACCATTTTGGGCGCCTCCTGATTTGTAGAACCCTGTTTAGAAGCACCTGTGGGTGCTACAGGTTCTTGGTTGTTCTCAAATAGGGGCTCAGGGGGCTCGCTTAGGTCAGGAGCACCCCTAATTGCGTCACGTGACGCGTTTTCAGTAGCACCCCCTTCGGTATCGGAGTGATTTTCTCCATCGTTTTCTGATGGATCATTAAGCTATTGATTTCCAGTATTAATAATAATGGTATCTCCGTAATCTGTATCGGGGTTGTCCGAATTATCGGTGGAACCATTATCAGATTCTGTAGTAGTTCCCACTAGTCTTCTATATAGCTGGGACGCTGGGTTTAGGAGTAAAACTCCCTTGACGTGTTCTTTAATAGTACAATAGTTAGAAATGACAAATATCCGCTTATGCGGGTTCCAAATTCGGTATCCAGAACCACCATAGCCGGTAAAAATGCCCCTAAAGGCTTTGGCCATGTGCTTATACCATGAAGCTATTTCCTTAGGTATATGAACGTATGCCAAGAAGCCGAATATGCGTAAGTTGGAAACGTCCGGTTTAGCCCCATAAAACGCTTCGTACGGAGTCATACCGATTTTGGGCAGGTGGCACTAATTATAGGCGTAAATCCCATGTGTAGCGGCTTCCTCCCAAAACTCGTATGGTAAGCCCGATTATTCTAGCTCCGTACGCTCTGATTCGATAATCATACGCATACTGCGTTTAGAAACACTATTCTGCTCAGGCATATAAGTAGTAGTTGGTTCCAAGCGAATACCCTTTAATTTGCACTATTCCTTGATTTGGCCCGATACAAATTCCGGAGTATTATTAAGACATAGGCATTTGACTTTATTCCCAGTTTGGGTTTTAGAGAAGGTAACCTGATTTTGGAGATCGGTAAAATAGCTCTTTCTATCCGAATTATACGCTGCCATACGATATTTGGATCCCTTACAGGTAGTGGACAGCATATAAGTGTTTCCACTAAGGGAGGCTACCCTTAATGGCCCCCACATATTGATTGCGATATACTCTCCTGGAAGCAGTTTTTTAGGGTATAAATCGCTCATACTAGCCCTAATAATTTTGCTCATATTACAGGGATCGCAGTCAAACGGGTTTTGATTTTTGAATTAGAGTCCATTAACGTGGTTTACCGATTCCAGGATATACTTCGTATTTAGGTAGCCATATCTCTAGTACCAGGTTTCCAGGGAGGCTAGCGCGTCCGATTTTAACGATTTTAGGGCACGCCCTAAACCAAATTAGTCAAGCTAATATAACCCAGTGAATGGTTTATATATACCGGTTACTATAGTCGTTCCGTCATTAATAATATGGGCTTTCCCAGTGGAAAAATTAATGCTTCCTCTAGCTTGGGTAATTTTGGGAATCGATAATAATAACGTGTTTCGGAATTAGGGGCTATATAGTACGTTATTTAGCTATACTTTTAGCTCAGGAGTGGTAGATAGAATAATAGTTCCCTTACCCTTAATAAGAATCGTAAATTCGTTACTAAGGGTAATAGGGAATAGTTCTATATCTTTATAGGTAATAAAGGAGCTTTTACTCCCCGTAAAATGGTCCGTAGCGCCCGAATCAATATACCAGATATTCGCAAAATTGTCGTCATGTGATTAGCTACTGAGCAGGGCACTGAATGTCGATTTTCTAGTAGTTGATTTTTTGGCAGTATAGGCCTTTTTATAGATAGTTAATAGAGCTAATAGAGCTAATAGCGCCTCCTAATTAGTGGAATTAGAGTCCTTTCCATTGGAATTAAAGTAATCCTGGGCTAATTTATACGTAGTATAATCTTTAATATCGTGTCCTTTGAATTTGTAGAACGTATAATAGGCATTTGGATCTCTTCCACGCTTCGGCTTATTATTTGACTGATTTTCACCATCCCCTTGGATAGCTAGTGCCTTTAGAGTGATATCTGGGTTAAAAGCGGGAGGTTTAGCCCTGAGCTTTTCCTCCTTAGTGGAAGCGTCCGCTTTGAGTAATTCCAGCTTTAATTTATCGACGTCAGCTCTGATGGAATTCAGGAGGGGCTTGTATAAGTCGTATTTCTTTAGGAGGCCACGAATCAGGTATCCGGATACAGAAACGTCCGAAATCGATCTATTTACCCCCTTGATTTTAGCTACTTTGCGACTAATGCGGTTAATAAAGTCGTCCATTCCCATAGTAGTATTAAACGTGATAGTTTCCATTTATTAAAGGTATAGGGCTTCCTTTTAAGCTTTTAGCTATCCAGCTTTAGCTTGAATCTGGCTCCAAATTTGGTATGCGAGCTTGATTTCCTTGAATTATTGCCAGGTATCGTGGGTAATAAGTAAACTTAGTACCGCTCTGGCGATTGCAAATTAACGAGTAATCGATTTATCGTCCTTTGGGCCTGCTTCTATAAGAGCAGGAGCTTGATCAGGATCGACAAATTGCCATAGATCTTCGACGATAAAGAGGTTCATAGCGTTGTTTATCCAGGAGTAGATATTGTCGTCCGAGAGAGGCTCAATTTTCGTACCTTTATAGGTGATATGGGTTGATTTTTTGGAATCCGGCATATTGGATTTTGCGGAGAATTTCTGGCCGAAAATGGCTGTGTTTTTGGCGAATTCTGCTGACGCGAAGCCGAACTAATGGGTGAAATTCACCAAAATTGACGATTTTGATGATTTTTTGGAAATGGTTTTGGAATGGACAAGCGAGTACTAATGTCAAGTGACGCTTGGATCGCTTAGTAAAGCACTAGCCGGGCTCAGAACCTATTGGAAAGTGATCGATTTATTAATGGAAAATCGATATGTTGGAGGTTGATAATCTGTAGAATGACTAGATACAGGAGAGTGAAGTGTAAAAACAGAGGAAAAGTGTCTAAAGTAAGGGATTTATTCCCATTACCCTTCGGCGATACCGGTAATGCCGAGCCCGCTTTCTCCGATACATTATCAATCAGCTAATAAATCAAAAGTAATCAAAATGACGATATACTAGTAAGCTTGGTAAGCTCAGCGAGTAACGCATGACAAATGAGAGTGGAGAACCCTAAATTAGTGGTTGAACCTGGTGCTGGAAGGACTGGTGAGCTAGCTATGGTAGCGTACCAATTTCAACAGTATGGCCGCAGAGCGTGTATTGGATTTCGTAGCTGTTGCACATTGTGACGGAATCGAGTCTGAATGAGGTATTGGCTTGCAAGATATATGTGCCGTGATGGCAATGTAGAGGAAGAAAGGGTTGTCGCTGGTGGGTTCTCGAGGGAGTCGTCTTGTGATGCGTTGCGAGGGTGTATTGTGACTTTGTTTGTCGCAGCTTTCAATGATTAAGGCTCGGGAATTCTTTTGTCAACGAGGCTTGGACAAGAACAAACAAAGGTTTGTATAAGCTCGAGTGCAAGTGTAGGGGATATTACGATTGGCAAAGCGACAAGTCAAGTTACTTCTCCGCCCATTCAGTGCTGAATTCCTTGTTATTTCTTTAAAAGCGACCCGGCTTCAACGCCAATTCTCGGTAAGCGACAAGTGCCCCTATCTTCACTTTCTATTCTTCTCTTCACCCAATTCTCACTCAATTTACGTATAACTGTCATTCATTACCCCTCATATCCAAAAATAATTTATGTTGTTCATTTATGAACATTCCATTTCATTTGATGTCAAGTAAAGAGCTCACTCACGCTTTCCTTTTCCCTTACTCGTACTCCCACCTCCACCAGTCCGCTTCGCCGCCCCAATTTGGGCTCTGATACAGTTTGCACGGAAACTGTAAACCCATCTGACATCGTCCATCAAGACCCAAGCCGGGATAATTAAGAAATAGCTGGGTCGTGATGGAAAGATGTATAGTGAATGAACAAGCATTGTTTAGAGTTGACTTGCTCTCTTTATTGGTAAGTATGGGGGGGGGGGGGGTAACACCATCGCATTGTGTCATGTCTCCCTTGCCCTTGAGAACCTGCTTGGGATGTAATGAAAAGAAAATCAGGAAATGGACAGATATTGTTTATAGTTACACCATGCGTTTTTGTTGGACACAAGGAGGGGACGATAATGATATTGGCTCATCCCTGCCCTGTTCTTGCTCTACGTCGATACGAGGATCTTTGATCTTCTTCGGTTGCACGTTCTTTAGAGGTTGCACTAATCGGGGTACAAATCAGGAGCTCCGAAGCCCTCATCACTCACTATATTTGGCTAAGCTAGCATCATTTGCTACAATGCTAGAACAAGGTGGGGATGTCAAGAGTTTATGCGACGTGAGATCTAGCTTTTTCTTCTTACTAGGCTTTCCCAGGTTCGCTATCTAATAGGTATGTCAATGATTCTTTGTTGTGGTTAGTGTGGGGGGTTGGGTAATTTTCTTTTCTAGTGAGTCCTGAAGTCCTCCGAGATCTGATTGTGTGAAACATATGTTGCGATTGGTGATGATGCATTCTTGATCTTAACGCAATGGTGTAATACGCTTGGAATCCAGGCTTCCACACTCCGTCATCTTCACGCATACCCATCAACAATATCGTCAACTTCTTTACTCTTGGCAAATTGAACGAACTCCCTAACTTCAAAGCCAACAGTCAGCACTGTTTCACCGTCTGCTCTCCTCTGTAACAGAGAAAAAGAAAAAGAAAAGAAAACTTACAGCTAATCTTATCCTCCGCATCGACCGTCCCAATCAACTCGTCGACCTCCGCATCGGTTACGTTTTCCCCAAGGCCTGCCATCAGCTGCCGGAACTGCGCAGCAGTAATGGAACTCTTTAGACTTGGATCGAACTCTTTCCAGGCTGCTTCACTGTCGCCTGCCACTGCTGCAGCCTGGGTAGGGACGGGTCCTGGAGCTGGAGCGGTCGGTTCAGGGGCAGAGTGTCTCGAACGGCCTCCTGTCATCATGGAGATGAATCCTATAATACATGTTAGCTTGGGTATAGAAGGAAGGGTATGAGCAACTATGGGGGGATGCTGACCATCGAAGTTTATGGATCTACCTCCTTGATGATCTGCTGCACTTCATCATCGCTGGGATTTTGGCCTGATTCTTTCATCACCCGTGCGAATTCCTCCACTGTGATATTTCCTGGCCTACTGTCAGCAAAGCGAAAGAGGGGTAGCGCTGCTGATGAAGAGCTGGCTTGGGGGGGGCGGTGACGAACCTCCTTTATCTGCATCCTGTCTCGAATTAGCCAATGCTTCCGCACTCTACTGGAAAAGCCTGCACTCACATAAGAATCAAATAGGTCTTTGAATATCTGTATCTCCTCTGGGGAAAGTGGTTTATGAGCCTAAGATCCCAGCGTTAAGAGCGGTCAACACAGCCCACCATGCTGTAGCCGAGGTCCACATACCATGGTGAACAAAACTTGCTAGCTATGAAATTATAAACGAGCTATAGATGGGATGTAGTATAGCTTGGGGTGAAAGTTTATGAAAGGAGAAAATGGGACGAGGGAAGGAAACGGCTGAAGTACGGATGAAAGTAGCGGCGAAGATCCTTGAAACGAGCCCCTGTCACAGATTGTCTCAGACGATTGTCACGTGTTATGTGATCTTTCCCTGAAATCAAGCGAGCTAACTCATGGAAAGGGGTTGCGAGGATTTGTTTATGCATTCTCTAGTTCGCGCGACAAGTTATCTGAGAAAGAGCTCCAACGAACTCGTCTGGATCCCACCCCCTCAAGAGAGTATTGCCTTACGATTCTACGAATCCCAAATCGGCCCAAAAGCAGGAACACCCTTGCTCTCTAACCCATAAACAACCTTCCTCTTAACCTTTGGATTGGAAATAACAAAATCGCCTCTACTTCCTCCCTCCTATGAAGTACCCAAACAATCCTCGTCGAGCCCGGCCTTCCCCTCCCCTCTTTCTTCATCTTCCCCGTATCAATATTCAATAATCACGCCTCGCTGATCGACCTTCTTTACAGCCGCACAAATCTCCTACCCATAAGTCTCCAACGAACTCGGCGTACTCCAGACCACGCGGATTTTGGTATCCACAAATGGAACATCTTGGATTACGCCCAGACAGAAACTGATTCCCTAGCCAATTGTAACGATGATGACCTTTTTGAAGAGGAGAGCCATGAGTAGGACACCCGTAACTGGAATTCTTTTAACCCAGTGATAGAATTGTGGGTTTTCGGTTGCATCCCGAGTCCAGTCTCCTGCATTTGAGATCAGCAGACTTCTGCCTGATCCCTCTCTCGCGGGGATGCATGTGAATGAATGCCATTCCCTGAGAGGCGAGGCAGAGATCCGGTGCCCAACGAAGAGGGCGATCTTCTCCGTGAAATGAAGATGGATTGCATGGTTTGAGTGTTCCCGGCCACAACGTGGAGTTTGTAAAGGCGAAAGCAGGGAAGGACCGCATGGATGGTAAAGATTAAGAGGAACCAACAGGCGGGGAATTTTATGGAGGTTTTGTCAAGCGAGGATGGACATTGGGCACAGAGCAGCGATTCTACCCAAAACAAGGCAAGTAAAAACCAACCCCCCAAGCGATGAAAGTTTTCGAATGTGTTGTGTGAGATCATGGGAGATTTCGGAGATGCGGTGATGATGAGACTGAAGATGATGAGGACGAGCGTCTAAGAGGTTGTTAAGATCGATGAAGGCGAAATTGCAAAGTCTTGGACTCTTGGGTGAAGAGGGCGGTGAAGAGCGTGAACCACGTAACTAAGCAGACGAACGCCCCGCTGGGGATTCCGCCGTACTCGTAAGCTTTTCAGAGGACTCGACGTATGCAAAGAGGGGCCAAGACTGGCATGCTCCAGCAGATCCTATAGAGATCAAGAATTATATTCATGGACTTTTTGAGTTCGTCTTGGTATAACAGAACCCACAACTCTCTTCAAGAATCCGTTAACATCATAATCCAGCCTCACCAAAAGCGCAATCATAGCATTGGCACTCGCAACGCTCGCCAAGCCAGCTAATAAGCCAACATTGTTCAACCTCATTTTGTTCCCAACCATCAAAACCACAACAACAATCATATTCAGCAGAAACACGACACTAAATACCTTTCGATAGACAGCGAAGAATGTATGCCGGGCATTGCGAAAGAACTCTCCATGCTTCTTTGAAGGAAGAGGTTCATGGTCCGAGGCGTATATGAGGTTGAGGTCTGTTGTGAAGTCTTGCTTCTCGGATCCTAGAGAGCATGGAGTGCTGCCACACATCACGCTTCTGATATCTGATTGCGCCAGAGCTTTCTTTCATTCGACCTGATCTTCCGTACCCTGCCTCGAAGGGTTTGCTTCCCCCCACTTTGAGGGGATGCTTTTATTTAGTGTCTCTAACTTTGATTGAGAGGGAGACAAGCCTTGTGTATCACAGACACTGTGCCATGTCGCCTACCAACACAGGGTGCGGAGGAGTCAACACCGGTTGCTAGAAGAGGCAAATATGTAGCATAGATAACGTGAAGGCGTGGAGATTTCGCTCGCGGATTCCCATTTTGACTTCCCGCGAAGAATATCTATTGCAAAGTTCGTTGCAGAGCCAATTGAAGCGGTTGCCAAATGAATGCAGAAGTTCTTTGCAGTATATAAAGAATGGTGTGCTTTCAGAATTTGGCAGATCCGAGAACGAGACGGATTTGTCTTTTTTGAGATACTTGAAGCCTTGGATAGAAAGACGTGGGGTGGGGACGACTTTATTTGGCGAAGCGGATGTGAAATTCAAATTGAAAGGGCGTGGCGCTATATCGATTGGCGGTCAACATTCTGGCCAGACAAGATGTCACGTGCTGCGCACAGGCATATATATAGCTTCTTCACCGCCATTAGGGCACCATCATTCATACATATTCATACCAAAACACATACATTTCCACTTCCACAGCTTGTCCAGGCCGTGACACAAGACGTGCTTCCCAGCGTGCAGTTTCGTCACAACCCAACTGAGGCCTAGACCAACTGTGACTTATTCTCAAGCCTGATCAGGCAAGCTTGGGGTACTATAATATCAAAAGCCAAGGCCGATCCACTTCCGCCGGCTCCGCCGGCCGGCCTGACTTGCAGCGGGCGGGACCGGGATTGCTGAAGCATGTACCATGCGGGTGCTCTGTGCTGATAAAGTATTGTAATCGCCCTCCAACATTTGGAATGCAGATCGCCGGGGTTGTGTTCTGGTAGAGGCGCGCACGGATTAACTCCATGCTGAAACTCTGCCGATACTTCGATCGAGCCATGCTTTCGTTGGCTGGCTTTGCAAGCCCCGCGCTACATTGGTCTTGTACAATACATTTTTTTTCGGGCTCAGCGGGGGTGGGAGTCGCAGCCGGGTGAGAGTTGAGGTTTCCAATGGGGTGATTTGACCTAGAATTTTCTGGTGCAGCTGGGCTTTGGCACAGTGTGACGGGATAGAATTATCGATTTGGCAACATTCTAATACGACAGCAAAGACTACTCGTCTAATGAGCGATAACGGAGGGTTACCAGCAGAGTTGAACGACGAGCAGTCGGAGTTTCAACTAATTCGAGAATTTTAGCTTGAGTATGTTGCGCTCTTGGCATGGAGTGAGCACGATCGGTGTTCCTCCATTATTACGCGATTGGGGGTCGGGGATTCCAAATAACCGAATTCCAAATAATTTCTTTCCTGCCAAGAATGGCCTCAGCACTATAGGCTCCATTGCAAGACATTCTTGAGACACCTTTGAAATCGAGCAAGCCACTCAAAGTGCTAGAAATGGACTGGTGTGGTGCCCTGGGTAAGAAACAGAAGTATGACAATTCGGCTTAGGAGTGGGGTTTTTGGATGGGAACTCTAGACGAAAATAGTTTGACGAGTACTTAAGTTTCAACCTTGGCTCCCTGACACATCCGTAAACACAAACTTCTACATCTGTCAAAATGGATATTGTAACTTGGGCATTCAGTCGCATGAGAGAGGGTCGAGATCAATCAGCGAGCTTCTCACACAACCTAAAAACAATTGGAAAACCAGACTAATAGATGTTAGGCCTATATCGATGCAAATGATACCACTCGCAAACTTTCTGCTCATGGAGTTCGAACATTGGTTCGGCAGCTCACTTGTGGCTTCAATCATCATGGCCTAGTGGGGCGCGACACCGTCTGCATGATTAACTTTAATGACGTGAGTGTTCGAGGAAAATCTCTCAGTTGAATTTCACTGACATTGTTCTAGATCAACTACACTGCCGCTTATCTTGGGACAATCGGGGCCGGAGGTTGCTTCACTGGAGCAAATCCTTGCTACAATGCCCGCGAGCTAACCCACCACGTCAGAATCATAGCAGCGAAATTTATCCTGACGGAATTGGAGACACTTGACATCTCAATCGCAGCCGCCAGAGAGTTTGGCATACCTGATTCGAATATTTTCGTCTTGAACTTTCGAAATGAAACTATTCCGACAAATCACCGCTCGTGGAATGCTCTACTGGAGCACGGAGACCAAGACTGGATCGAAGTAAAGGACTTGTCTACTCCTGCAGCATACGTCAGTACTTGTGAGACAACGGGACTACCCAAAGCAGCTATCATTCCTCACTCGTACTTAACTTCTCAAGCTGCGATCATAGAGAAGCAGTTGCTAGCAAAGGAGGGGGTGAGTCGCAAAGACTGCTGGGTAATAATAACTGACGTGAACAGATCTCATATCTTGTGGCTATCCCTCCATTTCATATGTTCACGGCGCCAGTTCAACATGCTTTACCACTCAGAAACAACATGACAATATATACCCTTCCACGGTTTGATGAGAATTCTTTCATGAACGCAATTGAGACATTCAAGATCACTAGAACTATAGCTGTGCCGCCTATCTTGCTCACCCTGTCAAAATATCCGGCGTCAAGGCCTCAATCACTCCAACAGGTCCTTGTTGGAGGATCACCTTTCCCACTCGGTATCCAGGAACAGATGTATTCAAAGTTGCTACCCCAGGCAAGGATAACAATTGGGGATGGAATGACCGAGGATGGATCGGGAGCGTTTTGGAAAGAGAAGCGGAAGGACACGACGGGAAATATTGGCCAATTACTGCCCGGAAGTAAGACGAGGTAGTGTAGAACAAACAGTTTCTAATATTACCAACTGACAAATGGCCCAGAGTCGCCGATCGAGAAGGAAACGTCTTGACGAAAGAAAATGTTTTTGGAGAGGTCCACATCTACAACCCTCTCGCGATGAAAGGATATCTCAACAACAAATCTGCAACTGACCAAGCATTCGCACTGGACAACTGGATACACGCCAATGATATTAGCCATACCAGAGACAAGAACTGGTCCGCCGTCGGTCGTTCAAAAGACTGGATCAAAGTTCGCGGTTGGCAAGTCAGTCCTGTTCAAATTGAAGCTGCTTTGATGGAACACCCAAATATCTTAGACGTAGGCGTGATTGGCATTCCTGCACCTGATGGATGCGGCGAAAGTCCAATGGCGTTCGTAGTTGTTGAGAAGGGCAGTTCCGTAGATGCGGACCAGATCAAGTTGTTTCTGGAAACTCGTTTAGCTCGATATAAGAACGTTGAAGAGGTCTGCTTCGTTGAGCAGATCCCTAGGAATCCCGCCGGGAAGATTCTGCGAAGAGTCCTGCGAGACATGAGGGAGGCTGAGGAACCGACTCCAGACCAAACGGCTGCCAGAGAATATGCTGCCGCACTTCAACAGATAAATTTATATGAAAAATTGAAAGGTTCCGAGTCGAATTCGACCGCTGTGAGCTCGAGGGTAGTAGGATCCGAGGAAGAAGCAGCAACTTCCAAGAAGAGGAAAAGCTGTTCAACGTCACAATTTTGGCCATGGCGGAAGATGAGAATTCTTTCAACGTCATAGGGGAGTGGCTTATTTCTATGTTGGAAGGTCTGCGCGAGTTTTGGTGGCTTTGGAGTTATGCGTTCAATAGCACGGTAGTTAGAGACATCGAATATCTTCCTTGAGATACTTTGACAATTCAATATTGATGCACAGGACTCACCTAGCTTACTATGGGTATTGTAGCACCCCACTTGGGGTTCCAGCTCTCGTGCTCGTGCTGCCAAAGTTAGAACGGCGGACGGCGAGAGTGGTGGATTTAGTCGCCTACTTGGCACAGACATCGGATCGGATATGAATCGAAGTAGATGAGACTTGTGATCAGACGACAGTGTTGCCAGTACGTGGTGGACATGCAGTGAGATAGATGTATGAGGACGGGTGTTGTTGTGGGAAAGAGTGATGGTTGCAGAGAAGCTGAGAACCAGAGAAGATCGACAGGCCCCGCACCCCACCGCCGGAAAAGCGGTGGCTGGGGTCCCCTGATTTCGGCCCAACATTGCAGGGAATGCCACCATGGCATGGCATGGAAATCATCACCCCGCAAAATCCGCATCAATCCTGGATTCCTGGACTCCTAGACAGAGTGCGATGTATTCCTCCTCCTCCTCCTCCTCCTCCTCATTCTTCATCTCCATAGCTCGGGGGATCTTCTCCCCCTTCTCATATTGCCCGCCCCCAGCTTCTCAAGACCCTCAAGACCCTCTTTTGACGCAGCACTAAATCTCAGCCACGAAACTCAGTTCAATTCGCTCTTCTGAGCTCCTAAAGTAGATAGCTCCCACCTGTCGCTACCTGACCCTGCTTTCGACACCTCATTATAAGTCCACTCAAGTCCAACGCTGCACATGCCGGGTTCCCTAGCCTCACAAACACGATCGTAAAAAGAACCTAATTTTCAATACAGTAGGGTGCCATAAGTATTCGCACATGGCCCGTGCGGACCCACTGTATTCAACCAACTACAATTCACACTGAGACTTCTAAGAGAAGTGATTGGCTGATGAGCACTGACCCTGTGCGAATACTTATGGCACCCTACTGTATTTCGCTGCGCCTCCTCCCTTCCTCCATCGTATCCGAATCATTGGATAGCATCGATACGGCGTTACATTGGCATCGTGCAGTCAGCCACAAATGTCTTAAACGGGCCAACCCGAAACAAGCACAACTGATTTGTTTAAATGAGCTTGAGCTTCCCCGGAAAAACTGCCTTCATTGCGAAGTACGACAGTCATGGTTTCGCTTTCAATATGGCAGCTGGTGCGGGCTGTACTTCTCTCAACGGCGCTCACATCGGCAGCAGAGATCACCTCTGACACCCACTTCTATGGCCAATCTCCACCTGTCTACCCTTCGCGTAAGGCTACGAGCCTTCAACTTAAATAATTCATTTTCTAACAGCTCTCAGCTCCCATGACAGGGACCCCATCATGGGCAGCCGCGAACGCGAAAGCAGTTGCCCTCGTCTCCCAGATGACCCTCGAAGAGAAAGCGAACATCACGGTAGGCTACACGCCCCGGACGGGCTGTTCAGGCGAGACAGGCACTGTTCCCCGACTCAATTGGCCTGGCGTGTGTATATCAGATGCCGGGAATGGCCTAAGAAACACGGATTTCGTGAATGGCTGGCCGAGCGGGATACATGTAGGCGCGTCATGGAACCGGAATCTGGCGTACCAGAGAGCGTTGCATATGGGAGGGGAGTTCAAGACGAAAGGTGTACATGTTGCGTTAGGCCCGGTTGTTGGGCCGCTTGGACGGGTGGCACAAGGTGGTAGGAATTGGGAGGGGTTTAGCAATGATCGTGAGTCTCCTTGTTAGATTTGGAGGAAGATTCTCATTGAGGCAGCATATCTGTGTGGTACTCTTGCTGGGGAAACTGTCCGAGGCATGCAGGAAGCTGGTGTGACGGCTGCGACCAAACATTATATCGCCAACGAACAAGAGACGAACCGGAACCCATTTGGTGATGTCGAGGCTTTTTCAGCTAACATTGACGACAAGACTCTGCACGAGTTGTATTTGTGGCCGTTTGCGAATGCGGTCCATGCTGGAGCTGGGTCGATCATGTGCTCCTACAACCGAGTTAACAATTCCTATTCCTGTCAGAACAGCAAGTTGCTGAATGGCATTTTGAAGACGGAGCTGGGATTTGAAGGCTTTGTGGTTAGTGATTGGGGAGCACAGCGTAAGTATTTTGATGCAGAAACGAGGGCTGTACTAACCCATATCAGACACCGGATTATCCTCAGCAACAGCTGGCCTGGATGTCGCGATGCCGAGCTCTAGCTTCTGGGGAGTAGATGGAGGATACTTGACGCAAGCAGTCAAGAACGGCAGTCTTGCGGAGTCCAGAGTGACAGATATGGCCACTCGACTGGTGGCAAGCTGGTATCAAATGGGTCAAGACGTAGGCTTCCCCGCCAGAGGCGTTGGAATGCCTTCTATATTCTACACGCCTCATCCACCCGTCTACGCTCGGGATCCATCATCTAAACAGTTCCTCATCGACGGAGCCCTCGAAGGTCACGTGCTAGTCAAGAACGTGAACAACGCCTTGCCCTTGAAGAAACCGAAGCTCCTCAGTATCTACGGATACGACGCACCCAGCCCTCTCGAGATGAATGTTGGAGGATTAAACGATTTCATAGGTGGAACTTGGGTGTATGGCTACGAGTCTGTTCTGGGCTACATACCTTTCATCTCTGGCACTGCACCGCCTCAGATAGCATTCAACGGAACGATCATCAGTGGAGGAGGAAGTGGTGCAAATTCTCCAGCGTATATTTCGGCTCCGTTCGATGCGATTAAAGAGCAAGCATACCAGGATGACACCAGTTTGTTCTGGGATTTCATGAATGTGGATCCGACGGTTGATACCAATACTGATGCCTGCCTTGTATTCATCAATGCTTTTGCTACTGAGGCGGATGATCGGGCTGGTCTGCATGGTGAGTGCCCCCGTCCCTCCCTCCGTTATCCTTCACTGACAATATTCAGACGACTACTCCGATGCCCTTATTAAAAACGTGGCATCGAAATGCAACAACACAATCGTGACTATCCACAACGCTGGCATACGCCTCGTCGACCAATGGATCGAGCATCCCAACATCACAGCCGTCATCTTCGCTCACCTGCCCGGCCAAGACTCCGGGCGAGCGCTCATTCAACTCATGTACGGACAACAATCATTCTCCGGCAAACTACCCTACACAGTCGCTAAGAATGAGAGCGCCTATACGAATGGCGGCAAACCCAGCCTGCCCGAGGGAGACTACACACTATTTCCGCAAAGCACCTTTTCGGAGGGCGTGTTCATCGACTACAAGTATTTCGATCAGAAGAACATCAAGCCAAGATATGAATTCGGGTTTGGACTTACGTACACTACATTCTCGTACTCCAATCTGGTGATCAAGAAACTCGACGGTGTTAGCACCGCTCCCACTCCTCCTCCCTCCCCAATCATTCCGGGCGGAATCGCCAGTCTCTGGGACGTGGTCGCACAAGTCACTGCCACCATCACGAACACCGGGAATATGACTTGCTCCGAGGTTGCACAACTATATGTCCGCATCCCCGGTGGGCCGTTGAAGCAGTTGAGGGGCTTTAGCAAAGTTGGAGTGCCGGTAGGTGGGACAGTGACGGTCGAGTTCGATTTGATGAGGAGGGATCTGAGTACGTGGGATGTTGCGAGTCAGGGATGGGTGTTGCAAGGTGGGGGGTATGACCTTTGGGTCGGCGCGAGTTCGAGGGATCTGCCGTTGAAGGGGACGTTGATGATATAATGGAGAGGATGGAATGTAATGAGATATGAGACAAGAGGAAAGGCGAAATAGAGGAGAGAGATAACTTAGATAATACTAATGTTTAGATGTAAATACTAATAATTGCAGAACGAGAACTTGGCCGATGAATCCGTTACAACGTGTTGTTCTTTGCTTCTGAGGACCAGCTTGGCTTCTGGCCATTTTGGGCTGAACCCCTCTTCTTGAGTTTATTATGGGTGAAATGACTGCGAATGATCTATTCAGAGAGAATGGTTCAAAAACATAAGACTATGTATGAACCACCAAAATTAAAATACCCGAAACAATGGCATCTCATCTTCAAGTCCTAGCTAGATCCCAGTTGGAAAACCAGCAATCAAAGCGACACTTCACCGTTGAACCTCTCGTCGTCTGACTGCCTCCACGCGTTTAATCCACACCCGCTGACTTGGCCCAAGACTTGGCCCAAGACTTGACCAGTCCGCATCTGCCTTGGACTACCGTGGTTGGCCCCTAAACGCGGCAGGCTGCCCAACGGCTGCCAAGCGGCAGCCAAACGTCACGAAATGATAGGAGAATTGGCCACAACTCAATGAGGCTGTGCATCGACTGCGTGCTTGGCACTCGCGGTACTCGTACATACAGGAGCACTTTGCCAGAGATGACGACGACCAGAGGCGGATGTACCGCGGCTTCCATGCCAGGCAGGGTACGGGTATCTCGATATGCGTAAGCCACTGGCCACCGCTGCATAGTACTTGTATATCAACCCGGAGTTTTTGTCTGAAGAGAAGAGAAGAGAAGAGAAGAGAAGAGAAGAGAAGAGAGGAGTTCGAGAAGGACGACGTTTGAGTTTTGAGCGCAGCACGCACAGGTGCAGCTATTTTAAGTTCGTCCAAACGACAGAGAAAGTGTCCTGTGGTCGGTGGTCCCTGAAAGTATCACCCGCAGACGGCAGAACCACCACGAGGCAGCAGCAGCAGCAGCAGCAGCAGCAGCAGCAACTGCAACCGCAACCGCGACCCGCCAATCTCGCGTCAAACCAAAACTGTCACAGGATAAACGTCAGACTGCGCCGCCTCTGATCCTCAAGATCCTCAACCCAAAATAATCGCGGCGACTTTGCTTTGCAAGCATCCACTTTCTCCTTCATCTCCACCTTCTCCGACCACGTTACTGTTGTTTTGCACTGCGCCGGCACGATGAAGGCAATGAAGAGCATGAACATGAATCGCATGCTGGGTTCGCTGAAGCGCAAACGTAAGGATGCACCCGACCCGCGCGCTCCGGAGAAAAGGGACGCGACGCTGACGATTGACCTTGCAGCGAATTCCAATGGCGACAATGCGTCCGCAGACTCGCAGCTCGACACGCCCGAAGCAAATGCTGCGAGGAGTGTGGTATGTATATCTCTCTCGCAATGAGCATTACGTCCACTTGAAACATGCTGATGCTGCGCAGCGACTGTTCTGCGAGTCTGGAGGCCCGAATGGCTCGGTATGTTCCCATCTCTACAACACAACTACGATGGGCATAAGGGGTGTAAAGGGCAATGCTGATTTGGCGCTTTGGAGCAGGGCGAAGAAGTCCTCTACCTCCCCACGATCGTCGAGTCCTGCGAATCATCCCCAGCCGCCGCAGAGAAAGCAGCCTATGTCATCAGAAAGTACCTCTCGAAAGATAACTCGTCGAAGCCGTACGTGCAGTACAATGGCATAATGCTTATCCGGATCCTGGCCGACAATCCAGGTAAGACGTTTACCAGAAATATGGACGCGAAGTTCGTGCAGACGGTCAAGGGACTTTTGCGGGTGGGAAGGGATCCAAGCGTGAAGCAAATATTGATGGAGACGCTGGATACCTTTCAGCGGACGAAGGCGGAGGATGAGGGACTCGCGCTGCTGAACGAGATGTGGAAGAAGGAGCATGAGAGGATGGTCAAGATCCATGTTTGTCTCTCCCTTCTCTTCCCCTATGCAACCTGTCCGGATCCTGACTGACCATTTGTCTACAGGGCCCAGCAGGACCAAGAGTAATGAACGCCCCTCCTTTCGACCCCAACAGCCAAAACTACTTCTCTCGCAACCACAACTCGCGCTCCCTTCCCCCACCCCACGAGCTCTCCTCCCGCATCGAAGAAGCACGCACCTCTGCGGGTCTCCTCTCCCAAGTCGTGCAATCGACGCCCCCATCCGAGATCCTCTCCAACGAACTGCTCCGCGAATTTGCAGATCGGTGCAAGAGTGCAAGCAGGAGTATCCAAGCATACATGATCGCCGAGAACCCCAGCCCAGACAACGATACGATGGAGACGTTGATTGAGACCAACGAGCAGCTTACCTCCGCGATGAATCAACACCAGCGAGCTATACTGGCTGCGAGGAAGGCTGCAGGCTTAGGAAATGGTTCACCTGGGTTGACGCCGCCAGATAGAACCGACTCTGGATTCCCTGCTCCTCCGGGTCCTCCGCCGAATCGAACACAGTCTGGCTTCGCAGCTCCTCCAGGCCCACCCCCTACGCTGTCGAAACCAACACCTAATCGCAAGCCAGCGCCTCAAATCCCACCTCCTGGCGACTACGCACCAACAGGTCTCGATGACGATAACGAGAATCCGTTTTCAGATTCATCAGAAAAGGCCAAGAAAGTCCCCCCATTCCCAGAAGACAGACCATCGGCAGCGACAGGACAGTTCAATGACAGGTTGGGGATTGAGCCGTATCATCCTGGCTTCAAGGAGACCAAGAGTTACGTGAATAGACAAGATAGCAGCAGGGGGAACATGACGATGCATGCTGCTGCTGAGCTGGAGAGTCCGGTCGAGGAGAGGGCGGCGGGCCCCGCGAGCAGAATTAGTGGGTATGGCGTTAAAGCGGGGAACGAAGCACCGATTTATAGATACTGAGAGGTTCCTGAGAGGGTGGATTGGGGACTTCTTGTGGATATCTTGGGGGAGACTTTCAGGGAAGATTTGGGGAGCTGGCGTTTACCATACGAGCTTTCAAGAGAGGCGGTCTGATGATTTGATGATGAGCGATGATGGAGGATGACGAGTGTCAGTAACATTGTGAAGACATGTATACTTGCAGTTGGACAGCGGCATTTTTGATACCAATTGAACAAACCTTCCTTTTTGTATTTTTCCGTCTTTGTCGCTTTGTCTGCCTGTCTTTCAACCTTCAAGTCGAGAAAGACTCCAGTGAGTACAGAAAATACTGATGCCCCCAGGTTTCAACTCCATCCTTTTTCTTAGACGCGTTATGAAGTGGAGCCGAGGTCAGAACTTGGGAGACAGGCCGTCGACTCTTCAATACGGAAAGCTGGAGAGGCACAGCATCCCAGCAGTCGATAAGGAGATCTCACCTCCCTGTAGCCACGCGAAAGAGATCCATTGCGTGTTCGTTCACTCGATCCCTAATTCGGGCACTTATCCCACGTCCCGCGAAAGCGTATTCCGAACTTCTGAATACGGCAAGCGAAACCCAGTTTGGGACATGCCTTGCATTTTATTAGATTCTGACGTGAGCTGCCAAGTGGATTTTGATGATTGGCCTCCATGGATGGCACCATTGACCCCAATACCCCTTTACGAGCCGATGTTAAATCTTCAGTAATAATTTGTATGAAACACAAACCGGAAGTCATGAGAGGCCGAAGTTGCACCTCGAACCAGTTGTTTGTATCTACAAAAGGAAATCTGAGAATGACCGAAGTGGAATAAGCGACGTTGGTAAATCTGACATACCCTTCTCCACCCGGCGTATTAAGTTGGCCAATCAATTAATAGGAAAGAATTATAATGCTACTGTATTAATATCGCTGTCGCTAGACTTGATTTTCTCCATATTATTAAATTATTTAATAAATTCGTCTAAGATACAATGATTATGCAGTAAAATAGCCCTAATTACTACTCAAAACTTTATGAATCAGGTAAAGCGAGGTTGCGATTTTCAGAGCACGGCGATAGCGACATCAGTTGCCCTGAATACTCTTAAAAATACTACTTTTTAGCTAAGCATATCGCGATCTAATTAATTCAGCGCTTTATCTCCGTTAATTCTAAGGCTTAATTCAACAATCGCATATATTACCCTCGAACTTTCTCAATTCCTTATAAGAAGTTATCTGTTCATTGCGATAGAATGACGGATATCGCGATTTGTAGTGATGTGAATACCTATTACGGGTACCTCGCATTGGATTAATATTGATTGGCCAGCTGAATACGGGCCAGTGGAGAGGGCATGTCAGATCTACTAACAAAACAGCAGGGTATATCAAGCTTTTGGCCCGAAGAAAGCGTTATCTATCGTAGGGCTGGATCGGCTCTCGGTCCCATAATATTACAGTGCTGAACTACTTTAGCCCTGACTGCGGCTGCCGAAGATCATTCTTAGGCTTTTGGTTGGTCGGGTCGAGGGAAATAAACTTCAACGGTAATGTTATTCGAGCAAGGTACGCCTTGCATCACCAGCCGAGTGGTAAAGATGGTAGAACTGCGGTACATGCGCTGCAATGCATGTCGGCCGCAGTCATCTTGTAAATTACCTCTCATTGACAACGTTCTTCTCTTCCATTCAAGATCCACGTTGCGCGATGAGAACTCCGAGAATGGCAGGTCTTTTCTAACCACTATATTGAGTCGCGAAGATGGAAACACTAGAGACAGACGACCTGGTCAAAGGTGACGCTCCCGTGCTTGTAGTTGGGGGTTGCGGGTATATCAGAATCCCATCTAAATGTGGAGCGGACACCAAGGCTGATCCTTCCGCGAGGTAGATTTCTTGGATCACATCTTGTCCTAGCTCTTCTTCATTCTCCCAGCTATTCGTCGGTGTCGATTATAAGCCGCACTATACAGAACAATCGACATGCAGGAGCACTTTACTACGCCGGAGACATCACAAAAGAAAACGATGTCCGATCACTGCTGGATAGAATCCGGCCTCGAGTTATCTTCCACGCTGCATCTCCAAGTCCGAATGCAAACAAGAAGTCCCAGAACCATACAAATATAGTGGGCACTGAAGTCCTGCTGAAATGTGCTGCGGAATCTCCATTCGTGCATGCTCTGGTATACACCAGCTGCGACGAAGCCATCGAAATAGATCTAAGCAACCACCTCCTCACAGAAGAGACAGCAAAACTTCACACAAAAAAGTCAAACGCAACACCGTACCAAAAGTCCAAAGCCCTCGCCGAACAAGCTGTCATCAACGCGAACTCCTGGAGCCTCCGAACCCTCTGTCTCCGTCTGCCTCCCATTTACGGCGGCGGCGATCTCCAAGTCATCCCCTCCCTCCTTGAGATGATGAACCAAGGGAAATCCACCCTCCAAATTGGGCCCAATAAGAAACTCTTCGAGCACGTCTACATCGACAATGCAGTGCACGCGCACCTCCTCGCCGCCAAAGTCCTCCTCCTCAGCCTCGACGAGGGCTTTTCCATCCGCGTCGACGGCGAGACCTTCTTCATCACCGACGGCTGCCCCATGCCCTGGTACGACTTCGCCCGCAAGGTCTGGTACGCGGCGGGCGACCGCACAGAGCCGGAGTGGACCCGCGTTGTCCCGATGCACCTTGCGCTTGCGACAGCGAGTGTTAATGATTGGGTTAGTTGGACGGTCACGCTGGGGAGGCGGAGGCAGAGGTTTACCAGTGAGGGAATGGCAAGGTTGGGGAGGGGTACGCACTTCTCGATTGAGAAAGCGAGGGAGTGGTTGGGGTATGAGCCGCTTGTTCCCGTGGAAGAAGGGATCAGGAGAGCCGTTGAGAAGGCGTTAGAAGGCGCTGATGAGGATAGGTTGGTTTTGAGGCGGAAAATGGCTTCTTGATGTTTCGAGTGGGTTGGCAGTGTTGGTGAGATGATAATATGTCGTGCGACGGCCGAGAAAGGTTGATGAAAGTAGACTGTGCTGTGGAACCTATATTGTATAGGCTTCTCGTCAGTCATGGTAAATAGATTTCAAGCAATAGCTAATTAATCATGATAGATCAATATTCAGTTTGGATAACCTGACTAGCCAAAAAATCTAGTGCACTTATATATCGGAATTAGAAATCGTGTTATGTTATATTTGCGGGCTTGGCTTTAATACCTAATTTCCGGTATTAATATACATCAATACTATACTAGAATTATAAGGTATGTGACGAGTATAAGCACGTGATTGGTAATTTAGCCTGAAATCCATTGGGCCACCAGTCGCTTCTTAGGCATCACTCGTTTTCTCTATTCTCTTCATGCTTCCCTTTAGCCTCATGTCATAGATATGGATAGTTCAAGAGACGTATCCGCCTTATCTCCAGAAAGCTCGAGCAATGGCCTCCAAACTGAAGCACAAATGGACCTGCAACGAGCAGCTCCGGAGGAGTGGGAGCGGAATTGGGCGCCAGAAGCGCGAGAGCCTAAGTGTGCACATTTTAGTAGATTTCTTCCCTCCGCTAACCTCTACTTTAGTTCTCAAATGAAAGACGACACCAAGATCCCACTGCTCTGCTTTGCGTCCAAGGAAGACGAGAAAACGAGTCAAGATCTCTTTCCATGGCGCTGGGAAACCAAGACATCCTGGCGTCCACCAATCGAGACTATCGGCATGCATGAGAAGTTTTAGCGCACTGCAACTGGTCTCAAAAAGCAATTAGAGCAGATACAAAAGTATAGGATCAAGCGAGACAACATCACTGATTGGGCATCGAATCTGCGTTTTCTCACTGGACCGACACCCACTGTGAGGCTTGATAACACTATGAATCCAAAACCTACCAAGCAGATGTGTACTTGTACTTGCTACGCCTGGGAGGAGAGTGCCGAGCGTGGCAAAGAGATTCTGCCAGCATGTTGTTCGTGCGCTAGTGCAGCATCTCCTTTCCTTCTGGACTCCAAAGAATTCCGCCTGGTACAGGAGACACCCAACTGTCATCACTATATTGCGGTTTCGTACCGATGGTGGGTTAGCAATGCCGATTCGGCAGCAGTGGAAGGGGCACAAGACTCTGAAGCCCAGATGGCCGCAGGCCACCTATCCACCGTCATCGATCGTGCAACCAAGTTCTCCCTGCATCATGGCTATCAGCTAGTTTGGATCGACCAGAAGTGTATCATGCAAGATGATATGGCAGATAAAACGATAGGTGTCCAGGCCATGGACCTTGTTTACGAGAACGCGTCTCTATGCTTGGCAGTACTCCAATGCGAGATCACTTCTCAGGAGCAAATAGGCGCCTTAGCGAAGGCTATGGACGTCAGTCTTCACCCAACTCTAAACGAGGAAGAGTGGCGCAAATGGATAGAGTATCTTGACCGCAAGGAGCTTACCGCAATGGCCGAGGTTATTAAAATGATCACTGAGGACGATTATTTCGGCCGAGCCTGGATAGTTCAGGAAAATACAGCCGCGAGTGCCACAATTCTGCTCTTGAGGTGCCATTCCACTTTGATACGTCCGGACTCTATGGGCAGTCTCGACAGAGAAATTCAACTGCCCCTGTGTGAGTTCCGGGTCGCGTGTGCTAAGTTAGCTGGCGCTTTTCAAGACACCATTGAAAAAGCAGTATGGTATTATGAACGAGCGGCAGCACGATATGGTGAAGATGACTGGTTCGATGATAGGCGGAGATCTTCCAGGCATAACAGGGATTTCCGAAGACCACCCTCCATTGAGAAATTCAAAGCGAGTATAGAGCCAGACCAACAGTGGCAGATATACTTCCAGAGCTTTCTGAGCAAAAGCCGGGGGAGCCGCGTGGCACGCAAACATCAAGGACGATATCATTGTTCCGCAGCCGAAGCCGTTGAGTTTCTTTCGACAAAGCATAACTATTAAATTGCTAATCGTCTTGCGATAATTGCTAATCTCTGCAATTACGAGGTCCGTTTGGACGCTCAGAAGCTTAAGGAACTGGGATACGATCTCGCTGTATCTGTGTTCTGCTTGGCACTATTGAATGGAGACCTGTCGTTGGCGAGGCTGCCAGACGGAATACAATACGAGGACCTTGGTGTTGAGCAGTTCTCATGGGATCATATCACGCTCCAGATTGGCCACGGGCAGGATGTTCTTCACCGGACTGTTGATATAGAGATTGGCCCACCAACATTCTCATGGGCTCCCCGCCTGGCGGAAGGCTTCACAGAACGGCCACGCATACGTAAGGACAATAAGCGTTACGCCCTTGAATTTCTTGACTCAAACCCTAGGCTCCATATATATGGGTGGTTGTGGCACCGCTATGAGACCCTTGATTTTTCTGATTTTGCCGAAATATTCAAGAAAAGATTATCGAACAACCCAGCCGACACCAAAAACAGTTCCAGCCTGGATGAAAAATGGGGGATGACTACCGCCAACCAATTAGACTGTTTTTGGGATCTCATTCGGGAACTTCGAAATCGACAACTGAGTACTGTTGCCGAGGCCTTGTGGATTTCACTCTTAATGTTCAACAAAACTGCGGAGCACATATTAGGCATCGCGGAACGAGACACCTCACCGAGTTCCCTAGATCCTAGAGATGATGACAAATTACTGCTTAGCATCCATGATATATCATTGGAAAAATTCAAGAACCTCTTGCTCCTCGGACCCGAGTCAACGCAAGTTGTCTTCACCCCTTATTATTGGATGGTACAGAATATAATTGCAGGCGATGCAATCAATCTCTGGAAATTCAATGACACGCATCTGAGCGATTCCGACGACATGGCACAATCTACATCTGGACCACAATACGCCTTCTTTAACGATTACCACTCGAAGTATCTCTTCACTCCATTCACACAAAGCACTGCACCTAGAATTCCGCCCATGGCCCTCATGGATGAGCAACGACTACTCTCCTGGCCCGTGAGTGTGACTGATGGTTCGGATGATGGATTTGGAGTTTGCATAAAGGTGGATCGTGTTGGTTTTGATAAGGGTAGTCCGTTCAATCCAGTCGTTGGATTTTGGAACGTTAACAGGATTCCTACTAGACCCTACATACTACTATAGGGTTACTCATTAACACATTATCTCACGGATACATTTCATTTAAGCAGTTTGTTTCTCCTTCTTTATTGACCTGTAATTAAAGGAAAATATCATACTCCATTAAAATATCTAATACTAGCTTCTGATTAATAATTGTCAGTTTCGGCCTTGATGGGCCAAAGGGGGGCAAGAAAACTTATTTCTCATCCTCAGCTTCACCGTATCCTTACGATCTTCCTCTACTGGAAGTGGCTGCCCCTCTTCCTTCCTCAGTCTCCTCTTCTCAATTTCCAACTCCGCTTTGAATCGAGCCTTGTCTTCCTCTGCTTCTCTCCTTGATTAATTGTATTGCGACGTTCTTGATTTGTCAGGATATCAAATCCCTCTGCGCTTTTCCGCAATTCGATCTTTACGTCCAGTACCCCAGCCTCTCCATTTTTGCAAACTCCTGTTGCTAATCCTGAAGTGCGTCTTTGGTTCTTGCATAGCCTGGTTGCTTTAATCTTCGCCAATCCTCGTCCCACCCCATTTTTGCCTCGTAGAAGGTTCGGTCGCTCGAGGCATTGAATTGGGCTCGTGTGGCGTATGTCCAAAGCTCTTGCTCTACCCAGTTGCTGGGAGAGGGAGATGGCTTCTCAATAATCCTCCAATGTTTCCCCCTCCAAATTATCTTCTTCTTTGCAATATACCTCCTTATCTTCTCGAATGTAATCCAAAAGCAGTCGAAATAGTGTAGAAACTCTAGCAGGAGGTCTTGTAAATAGATGTATCTGGCCTGTTTGAAAGAGGTAAGTTGAAGTAACGTGAGGAAGAATAAGGATTTTAAGGAAATATACTCTAAGCAATAGCGCAAGAGAGCTCCTGTCGAAAAAGGGTATTTGAAAAAGCTCCCACCTCTGAAAATGGGCCAGTAGACCAACGTAATAAAAATGAAAATAAAAGTCCCGCATTAGCAATGGCAGCAAAATTGGTTTCAGATAGTAATTAACATCTATTATAGTTATACGGATTCTGGCGAGAAAACTAGGAGACGATGAACTATCAGGGAATGGCAGTCGCGGTTTTGGGCCCGGCGCTGTGTTTCCTCGGAGTACCCATGGTTACATTTTGTGCTTTGGTGACAATGATTCAATGTGAAATGTATTTTTAGCCACGGAGGCAGATAACTGAGGTATGCTCAGGACGTATACAGCGTGGACTCCTTTCGCAATCTCGAATCATCTTCAAGGAACAAGAGAGGCCAAATGCTGCCGCAGTCTGCAGAGAGGCACATCTTTGTCGCCGAAATGAAACCCGCTCGCCGAATCTGATTCTTTATCTCCTCAAGATCAACCTAGAAGGCTCGCGTATCCAGCTCTTCAATACAGTAACGTATCACAGGATTTTAAAGGATTCTCAACTTCATCGCGAACCCGAATGTGTCACTTTGTAGTTACTCAGGATTCAGGCAGGATTACCAGTTGGAACGTAGTTGTGGTTAAGAGTGTTAGATGAATGAGCTTTCAAATTCGATCTATTTGAGACGACAAGTTTACTGGCCCGCAGCAAAAGCAGCATGATTAAGTCGCTTCATAGCTTTATCTTCCAGGATCAATTGCATCATTGTGAACAATTCTTGTGCCTGAACCTGTACATCACCCCTTCCAACCCATCGATTTGGATGCCGTTTCTGCATCTCCTTTAAAAATGCTTTCGGGCATTTCCAACTCTCTGGAAGTGTCTTCTCGACATTATGAATGCAACATCTAGCTTCGGCATCTTTCTGCGCGTATCTTCCGTGTCAATGAAGCTATGTATTACAGGAAACTGTGTTGTTGAGCCAGGCTCGGCAAGCTTTCCCCCAGCCCCCAAGAAATAATAACCTCCGTACTGGTTAGTCATTGCCTTGTGTAGCCCCAACTTTAGCCCAATATAGGGTTCTGTGAAAGACGGCGATGCGGTCTTGTAGAATCTGTTTCGTTTGCATATCGTCACCCTTCTCCATTTGGCGGGCCGCATGGCCCAGCTGCACTTGAATGTGAAATCCCTCCACTTTTATGAGAGCCAAGCACAAGAACCTTTCATACGAGACCTCCTAATAGGCATCGGGTTGGCAAAATTCCTTTCCTCTGCTCGCCTTCTTTCAGTGGCCCAAGTGCGACTTTCCACACAATTGAGCCTTATGCGAAAGGTCTGGTTGAAACCAAGATGAGTTAAGACCGAAGATAAATTGCATGGCAGACCTAAAAGATCGGTGGGCAGCCCATGTAATTTTTCTTTCTTTTCTTTCTTTTTTTCGAAGCCTCTGCGGAGATAAGAGGCATGCGAATATAAGGAAGGAATAATCACGAGCAGAGAAGATGCCAGTGTAGCACGGAGAAGGAGTGCCGTGGAGGTTGGGTGCTGAAAGGCAGGATTTAGCCAGAAGCGAGGTAATAACAATGGTGACCAGATTCCCCTGGAGGAATTGATGAGAGCCGATGAATCTGGAGAACCAAAGGGCGAATGTAAGATCTAAGAGGGTCGTACCGGATATTGGCACGGACTTTCGTTGAGCTGCATCTATGCTCAGCGCGTGCGTCGAGGAGTTGGATGAACTTGGTCTCATTGCGGTTCCAGTAATGGAATTTATTTAGGATAAAGCCGAGAAGAGAAAAGAGAATGGAATTGTCCTTCTATACAAGGAGATAATACCTTATTTTCATACTTGATCTATGTCCCTTTCGTTGGTTACAGTGCCTATTCATCCTTTGATGATACACAAAGCCATTGTCAAGCAGGGACGGTGTGACTCTTTCCCCCTCGAATGCCCTAGAGCTATTCATACCTATCCAAACAATTGGAATTAGCTTGACCAACCTCTTGTTGAATAATAAAGGACTAACGAAGCTCACATCTCTTTGTTTCATCTATTCCAGTGGTGTTAGAATTCAGGTGTCTGGATATGGTTGTAATACAAGGAGTTCCCCCGAGAGGACCAAGCGAGGAATAAAGCTTTTCACGCACTGGGATTCCAAAAAAATGGAAAGCAAACATACAATCGGACAAGCCAAGTGAAAGCGAAGAAAGGTTTTAGCTCGAATAGGGATTCCCAAAGATGAGACGAAGACGTAGTTTACGGATCCGAGGTAACTCAACATCATGGTCAACGCCTCCATTTTCAAAAATCCAACACATCCAAAACTAATCGAACGCTCTTTTGGCAAGGCTGGCAAGGTGCCGGTTCAATCGTCGTCATTGTCATCACTCCCTGCCGTCCTAATCCTCTTCTCCTCCCCTCTTGACTTCTGATACTCGTCAAACCAACTCCCAGCCTTGGCCTTCTCAATCTCCCACTCCCTCAACTCATCACAAACCTCCTGTCTCTGTCCTTGATACTCGCCATAACTCTCTTCATCGTCTGATACTGCACCAATCTCTTCAATGACAAAAGAGGTTCCGGTTGCAGGGCCGTAACCATATGGGAACCACTTTGAGGCGGCTGCCTTTTTGGCTTGCTTCAACGCTTCTACTTCTCCGGGTAACATATCCCGCTTCAAGAGAGACTCCTTTCGGCGGCGTTTTCTTTTTCTGTAAGTGTCTTTGTTTGCAGGAGCCCACTTCAACCATTCGCGAGCGGCCTCAAGACCAAAGTCAAGATGGACGACGTAGCAGGGGATAATCTGAGCGGGGTCGAAGACAACGTATTCGTACTTGTTTGGCGAGACGTGAGAATTTGCTGTTTGGTCTGCAATCTCCATAGTCCGCCGAGTCGCCTCGCGTGTGACTTGGAGCGGTCGGCCCATCAAGACTGCACAGATGATCAAACGGATGCCAGGCAAGTATGCTGGTCTTATCTTCCCCCATGCGTTGCACTCCTCGGACCATTCTGAATACATCAATGCATATTCAGCGTCGGGCGAGGTGTAAATACCCCTTCCAAACGAACTTCCGAATGCGATGCCAACAGTGCGATTTCCCGCTTTTTGACCAGGAAGGACAAACCCCCATCGGACAATAGAGGAGACATCCCAGCGATTTGTGCCATGGAAGGTAGGTCGAGGTCGGCATAGGTCTCGAGCGAGGTCATCACGATTGTCCATTGATGAGCCGTACGGAATGGTTTCATGCGCGACACATTCACGCATCTGCTTGTAGGGGCAGTAGGGGCACTGCATCAACTGCTTTAGCATCCGGCCTTGTTTCTTTCTAAACCCTTTCAAAAGATCATTCCTCAGGACATTTTCGACATGAAGGACTCGGAACTCATCATCCTCGAAAGATTCGCAAAGTTGCTTTACAGTCTTGCCAAGTAAGTGGAAGGCAGAATCGTCGACGGTGTCGAGGTCAAGACCGAGCGGATTATCGAAAATGTCCTGTTCGGAAGCGTTGCTAATATCCCAACCCTTTGAGTGCCCCTCCGTCTTCCCTCGGGTTTTCCATTCGTGAACATGGATGACAGCTGTTTCAACTAGCTGTAGGAGCGTGACAGCGAAGTCCAGAACACCACCCCGACCAGCCAGCGCAGCCGATACCAATCGTCGCGATTCCTGGCGTAAAGGGTCGATGTAAACTCGCGGCATGGATCCTGAGGTGACTCGCACTATGACTGTATCGCTGGACCCGTTCTCCACATCCAGCACCACATCTTCCAGCTCGAAGACCCAACCAATATGCTCATAGCAGTCCCAACGGATCACCTTGTCTGACATGTGAGATTCAAGAAGAAGATTGAAGAATTCTGCCTCTTTGGAGCGCTCGTCAACAAAACGCACCCTTTTGAAAATCGAGTCGCAATCTTCGTCATCGGCATCGGATCCTAAAGAGTAAGCCATGGCGGAGCATAAATGCTCGATGTGAACTGAGATGGAACTCGTGTTGACTAGACACGATATTGATGAATCTTGGCTCAAATGTTGCCTGGAGAGAACGAGGTTGATCTGTAAACATGGCAGGTATAAATAGACCGGCGAGACATGGCATCACCTGCGCCCTCGTGAATCATTCGGCGACCGTCGCACATGCCCCTGGGTTTTGGGTGCGAATAGTAGCTTCATTTCCCTACCGTACGGCAGGGTGGAATCAACATCAAAGAGACCTCCGCACTCAAAGGCCGTTCTCTATTCCCGATTCGTGGTCCAGAAGCCTTGAGTTCTGACCGGTACTCCTACAAATGACTCCCTATATACAGTCAACTCCGACCATTCCTCGTCCTACGAGGCCTTGCTTTGCATGTCCTTACTCGTACTGCCATCATAATAATGTGCCATCTCTAATCCCGCCCTCTTATATCCACACTTGACGTAGAATCCTTCGTTCGCTTCGCTGCAGTCGAGGATGCACTTGTAACATCCTACCTTCTCCGCCACTAAGTCGAGAGCTTGGATCAGCTTGAGGCCGAGCTTCTTTCCTTGCTGGTCTTTCGCGACTGCAATATCCTCAATGTGACCGACGAGGCCTAGGTGATGGATACTGCGGGGAAGAAAGGTTAGCAGATGCTCTAGGAGGGAACAAGGGAATAAGGGATCAACGTAGTGGCCGTTGCAAAACGTACAATTTCCGCTCGACAAGCAACGCGCCAGTTCCAACAATCTTGCCCTGATCTTCGATGACCATAATGTAGTATCCTCCCTTGCCCTGGTTGTTCATCCAGTCGTATCGCTCATTCCACTCCTCCTCCGTGATATCGCCCACGGTTGTCAGGACTCGCAAAACATCGAGAAAGCCGATCGCATAGTCTGATTTTCGCAAGGGGCGGAGGACATATGTAGGTGGGAGGGTGGCAGCGATGGTATGAGAGATGAGTTCGTCGGTGAACATGCCTGCTTCTGGCTCTGATGGCGAGTCGTCTGCGGCGGTCATTGTGATGGAGGGGGTGATCTTGAGGTTGTTGATTTCTTCCGTGGGCACACCATTCGCGGGTTCCATGATTTCAGGCATGCCTGCGGTGGTCTGGAGAGTATATTCGTCAAGGTCTGGAGTGTTGGGGTTCGAAGGGGACAAGGTGTCGTGGTTCAATGAAGCTGGGGATTTCCCGTCAACAAATGCTGAATGCAGAAGCTCTTCGGGAGGGAGCATACCTTCAGACTCTCTATCAGCCAGCCAATTGGTCTTGAGTGGATAACGGATAAGCAGCAGTCGAGGTTGAGGTCCTGAAGTAGAGAAGATGTCTCGTTACTGTTCTTTGTTGTGTCATGATGATCAGGTTTTGGTTCCTGGCATTGATGCAGGGCAGAGCATTTCGGCAGCAGCCGAGGCGCCGAACCTTCTATTTATAGCTTCTGTGCGCTGGTGCAGGCCCTAATGTTTGTCACACCGCCTTTGCAGGGGCTGTGGTGAAATGCCCTGTAGCAATGCGCTGTAGCCGACTTTTGCTCAGCAGAACTCAAGGCGGTGTAACAAACATTAGGTCTGCGCCTGCGTACCGGTAGTTGGCCTGTTCCTGCCTCCCTCCTCTCAACACCCTTCTGCTTTTGCACTCCATGGATACGGACTGATGTCAAGTGAAAGTTCTCAAAGAGAAGTTTTTATGAAGAGTTGTCTTAGGATTTCGCAGTGATGAGGCCAGTCGCATGCTGCAGCCAAGCCCGGATCAGTCACCGTATATGAAACCCCGCACGGATCCCAGCGATCCGAGAGCTCGTCTCCCATCTTCTTCACCATTGAAGCTTTCTCCTCTTCGAATCAATCCAAGCCTTCAGGATGTACAGCATTAGCATTTTGCTGATCTATGCCCTCGTAGCAGAGGTATTTCGACGATGTTGTGTCATTCTCCTGGGAGCATTCACCGGCCCCCTCTCCAAAATTCCAGGACCTATGATAGGCAAATTTACCTCTTGGCCATGGATCATACAATGCGTCAAGGGCAATCAGATGAATATCGGACCAAGGTTATTCAAGAAGTATGGCGATATCGTCCGAGTTGGTGAGCATATAAAACTTTACGCAATGGAACCCTATTAACATTTCAGCAGGACCGGCAGATATCATATTCAGGGACAAGGCTACCATTCAAAAGATACTCATAGATGATGACTTTCGAAAATCTCGTGACTATGAGTCTGCTAGAGAAGACCCAAATGTCACCAGCTTGATTACAGAAACAGACAAAGTGAAATATAAACAGAAGGTGAGTACATCCACCGAGCGAAGATGTAGAAACTAACTTGACACCAGAGACGTCTCTTGTCTCCGGGATTTTCGATTACTTATTTGAATGGCTTAGAACCACTTATGCATGAATGTCTCCAAGCGTTCACAAAAGTCCTCGACGCTAGGTGTAAGGACGAGGGAGGGTGTGCGACCGTGGACATGAATAGAGTGCTTGGGAATCTGACATCCGTGAGTCTACATTTCCCTTTCATGGCAATCGTATTGACTAGGTAGGACGTCATGAGCGCAGCATCATTTGGTGGATCATTCAACCTGGTGGAGTCCGATGACAACACCCAAAAGAACATTTTCACCTCATATCTGAAGCGGGTTGCTCTTGATGCGCAATTCCCGTTCATCAAGTACTTGCCTGGCGTACCATTAGCGAGTTCTCTGATATCTGGCCTAGTCGAGGATATTGTTTCCAAGCGTCGGAAGGAAATTGAGGAGGGCATCATGAAAAAGGATATTCTCCAGATCTTTATAGACACGAACAACGCTGACCCGGTATCCTTCACCGACAAGCACATCCGAGCTGAGATGATTCTATTCATGTTGGTTTGCCAAATCCGCTACTACCAGAGGCTAATTATTATCCAGGATCGCAGGAAGTGACACCACAAGTCTCACAGCTACATTCACACTCCTCCTGCTACTCAACAATCAAGAAAAGCTGAAGGAGTTAATATCTGAAATCGACTCGACGTTTCCATCACTCGAAGATACGATAACATTCGCCAAAACGCAAGATCTGCCGTACTTGAATTCCGTCATTAACGAGAGTATGAGAATCATGCCAATCGTCACTGCTGGTAAGTTCTGTAATTCTTGGCGAGAACCAGTGCTTTTTCATCTTGTGTTTCTCTAAAGTTTTTGGCACATCGCACCACAGGTGCTACTCCTCTCACCTTTGCTCAGTATACCCACTCTTCAACTAAAGAATTTCAGTTTGTTGCACATTTTTCATAATAAGGTCTCATGTTCAGAACTTATACTCAGAATTCATGTTTAGAACTCGTGTTGAAACTCATCGAGGCCACTTGTAGCGTGCACAAGTTCTTATTATGAAAAGTTCGATGTGCAACGAACCGGTTTCCCACCTGTGTTTTCATTCATGCGTCTCAAAATACACTCCCACATTATTATGCTTCGTTGAACATCTCTACTAACTTCAAGAAGGCATTGTAAGGCTCGTCCCAGAAACCACAATACTTTGCGGCTTTGAAGTGCCCAAAGATGTAAGTTGATTCAGTCCGTCGAAATCCACAGCTAAATGAATAGACAATCGTCTCCGCATGGATCAATGAAATGCAACGAGATTCCAGAATATGGCCTGACCCCGACACTTTCATACCTGAAAGATGGCTCGGTGATTACAAAGGCGTTTCGGCAGATCGCAAAGCATTCCTGCCATTCTCGGCTGGGTCAAGAAATTGTATTGGGCAGCAGTAAGTGGCTCAGAATTCAAGACTTGAAGATGCTAATCCGGCTAGGTTCGCCTTAAAAGAGCTACGGCTCATTCTTGCTACACTAATACGGAGGTATGAATTGAGCTTGGTACAGGGACAATCTCATGAATTGAGAGTTCATACTGTGCCTTGGTTCAAGCAAGGATTCTACAAGGTTCGAGTCAAGGTCAGGACCTGATTACCTCGTGCTCTGATATGTCGTTCGGCTTTTGAGGAACTGTATTCGGCGTGAAGAAAGCCACGAGAGGCACTTTTACCCCTTTTGCTAAGCGAGTTCATCTTTTAGGCTTGGAGGTATAATTTATAGGAATTGAGCACGCTTGTAAGACGTCAGATGACTATTAAATATTCATAATTATATTCCAAATATCAAGGATACCTTTCAAGAACTGGGTGTCATTTTTGGCAGCCCCTTGCCTCTGACGTATGCTGACTCATCCCACTATCACATGCCGAGGCCCCTTGCATTGAAGTCCTCGCATGAGCAAAACGCGACACGTCAAAGTCACCACAGTCCAATTACAACCGCTCAGCGATCAGGACATCTCAACAAAACAGACTTCATACCCTGCCAATGCAAACTATGTTTCTTTCGCCATTTCCTCCGGCGTCTTCCCCTGCAACAACCACGAATTTGATGGACGCACCAAACTGCGACGCAGAAGCAACCCTCTACATTCAGAATCATCCTCAAACCCGCCATGGACCAGGATGATGTTACCGAGAAAGGGAACGAAATTCAACACGCACCTAGCTCAACTCTCCTTCCAGCACCCATCGCCGGCGTGGTGAGCCTCGTCACTCGATCGAGCTCCCTCTACCTACGACTCGGCACATTCATCGGTGGGCTTGCCCTCGATGGCGCACGCGTTACAACCTTAACTGGACTGGAACTCAGCAGGGCGATAATTGAAGGCATATTAAGCCGGGCAGGTCGAGATGTGTCAAACCGCGCATCTGGAGAGCTGGGAAGAGCAGAAGCCGAGGGGATCTTGGAACGAAGTATTGCCACCCTCCACTCAACCATCACGAACATTTCCTTCGCGGCTTCGACGGGCTTTCACTTCTCTGCAGCTGCATTGAACTCTGCAACGGATATATCTCAACAGCTATTGGCGGCGTTGGATAGTATACTGGGCAGTACCGATTCGAGTCGAGCCATCGCCAGCATAATTACATTGATTAGAAGGGAGTTTCAGAATCCTGCCACTGGACAAGAGGGAGAGAAGGTGGGAGTGGCAGATCTACTCTTGGGCATTTGTGGTCTAGCATTATTACAACGGTGGTGCCGGAAGATCACGGAAGATGAGTGCAGGGAGAAGAAATGGGAAGAGGTTGTGTGGGATGTGGTCGTCCTGGACGATGGACGTCGAGCGGATGTTGTTGGAGACGCGGGGTCAAACAACGACAAGGCTTTGGTCCGAGCAGACTCGCTGTCGTTCATGACTACCGATGGGGACCATGTCGTGCAGACGATTGAGAGGGAAGCGATAAGTCATGAGGATTCCGAGGACGATATGCCAGAGATCAATCTCAAGCAACGGATCATGCAATCTCTCCCGGCAGATGCTTCCGTTTCTATCACGACGGAGACTACGACAACGAAAACCATCACAGTTGAGATTACCGGCACACAGCCTCCAGATCTGTCGCCTCCACCCGGTGTGGAAATCGTGGAAGAGAACGCACATCATACTGGGAACGATGATTTCAGTGGGGAAGTTTTGACAAATGAACAGAAGATACGTCTTCTAATACCAGGGTATCGGGTTGTGTATCGGATCGTTCGAAATAGGCTACGAGGAGCCATTGTCGAAGCAAAAGGAGCAATTGAACACGCCGAAGACGCTGTCGAGAACGACGAGGAGATGAAAGATGCTCCTTTACTTGATACACGGAAGCCTTCTGGATTTGAAGTGTCTCCTAGCTCGTCCCCAACGACAAGTGAGGCGCTAGAGCTCCCCGAGAAGGACTCCCCTGTGAGGTCCAGCACACTTCACAGAGCATCAAAGTTAGTGGATTTGGGGAAGGAGAAAACTCCCTTCAGCTCATCAACGCCCGCGCTGAAGGGCGCGGAGAATGTTGCCAATCAAAAGCGTTCGAGAAAACCAATGAGCTCTGCCTCATCCATCAGTGGCTCTGACAATCCGCCTCCCAAGAAAGCCGCGATTACGAAGCCTCCACCAACAAGGAAGTCAAAAGCCGAACGACCAGCCACAACTCACGCTGAAAAGAGGGCCTCCTTTCGAAATGCTCTCAAAAAGGGATCCGGGACAACCCTCTCGAATCTGTGGAACAAAGACTCTGCTACTGAATCGTCGAGCAAAGCTAGCCCATCGAAACCCCCCTGGCGTGTTCCGAATCCATCCACAAAATCCCATCTCCCTGTCCCACAAGGAATCTCAAGCATTATTCCAGCCCGCGATGCTCCTCGCCCACCACAGCAAGGGAACCCCAATTATTTCTCCTCGAGGGATCTTGGTGTCATGCAACCTGATATTCCTCGAAGCCCCTCGCGGGCGAGTTACTACTCTATACATGAACGACGACGTGACTCTGTTGTGTCTCAAACCGATACATATTCGATACACTCCGCTGACACTCGGCCGGGCTCACCAACTGCATTTCGAACACATCTGAAGGCCCAAAGTAGCCTGCTGCGAGCTCGATCAGAAAAGAATATCGTTAAACAACAACAACCGACCTCACAAGTATTGAACCATCGACGATCGAAGAGCCATGTTCCAAGTATCTACACTTTGAAAACCAACAACTCTGCAACTTCCCTCGTCCTTTCCAATCCCTCGCGCCGTAGCGCCTTTGTCGACTCAGAAACCTTGGAGAGATTGACGCATACGGGATTTGTTGACGGACTATTCCCTCAGCATCATATAGTTCGCAACATTACACGTTTTGTGCGCTTTGCATCAGCGTCATACGGAGCTAGCTTCCTCCGCATTATGGGCATCGCAACATCTAAATCTCCAGCTGTCAAGGAAATCGACACCAAACATCACCATGAACACCACTCCTTCTCAACTCATACACAACTTCCACCAGATACGATTCTTCTTTCATCCTTCGTCGACCCACAGGGTGGTACGGACTCATCCGGAAACACAAATACTGGTATTCCAATGGTACATTTCGTGTCGTTAGACCACGAATCAAAGGCTGTCGTCTTGACTTGCCGCGGTACCCTTGGATTTGAAGATGTGCTAACAGACATGACTTGCGATTATGATGAGCTTTCCTACTGGGGAAAGTCCTACAAAGTCCACAAGGGGATCCATGCTTCTGCAAAGAGGTTGCTGGATGGTGCGGGTGGAAGAGTCATGGCCACCATTGCTGCGTCATTGGAGGAATTCCCAGATTATGGACTGTTAATGTGCGGCCATTCTCTGGGCGGAGGAGTCACTGCTCTCTTGGCAATCATGATATCCGAGCCATCTTCGGACCCAACCTCTAGTACTTTCTACACATCTTCAGATCACAGGCCTCCGCAGTTGATGATCACAAATTCAGAGTCGGAAAAAGGAAGAGCTCCACTCCCAAGAGTGTCCCTGCCATCAGGCCGACCGATACACGTTTACGCCTATGGACCTCCTGCCACTCTCTCCCCTTCACTCCGTCTTGCAACTCGCGGTCTCATCACAACAATTATCAATGGCCAAGACCTTGTGCCATATCTCTCACTAGGAGTTTTACATGATTTACAGGCTGTCGCACTAGCATTCAAAACAGATGATTCAGGAGCAAAAGGCGAAGTCCGAAATCGTGTTTGGGCAGGCATCACAGGCACTTTCGCGGATAAATGGTACAGCAATCGACCACCGGGCATCGAAAACGAGGAAGACGATCAGTGGGCTTATTCTGCTCTGAAAGCATTGCGCGCGTCCATGCTATCGGCGAAGCTTCTTCCTCCCGGCGAAGTCTTCATTGTTGAGACAATGCCTGTTCTGCAAAGGGATGCATTTCTCAAGGTTGGAGAAGAAGAAAGAGGTCTTGGGAGGCCTGCAACGAGGAGTGTGTTGAAGTATATACGGGATGTGGAAAAGAGATTTGGGGAGATTAGATTTGGTGGAGGCATGCTACTTGATCACAGTCCCGGTAGATATGAGGCGAGCTTGAAAGCTTTGGGAAGTGGAGTATTAGGTTGAATACACGTGTTTCCTCCCACGCTCTCTGGCTGAGTCTCGCCATTTGACATATTGCGACTTGAGCACTCACTGGAAGAAAGTAGAAGCGTTAGATGGAAATACAATCGCGTGTTCCTAGCCTTGGCTTCCAAAAACAGGAACAATTAATCTTGATAAAGCCCCAACGCCACCTAGCTTTACAATAATTCATCGGAGGAAACCTGACATTATTTTCGCAACTCGGGCAGAGATTGTCTCACGCCTGGCAAACTGCTTAAAAATCTACTTGCTGAGAGTCATCTGCACAATATGAAGATTTCTTTTTGATCGGGCATGCAATTACTGACGCAGGATCATGGGATTTACTCTGAAATACCCAAAGTTCCATCAGCTGAGGTAAGTGTGTTTTGGTCTCCATCCCAATAGTTTGAAACACTCCAATTTCAGCTTATTCTTAAGGCATTTCAGGTTGTGTCAATGTCTCTCTAGCTGAGTGTGAAAGCATTTGCCATTTCCGGAAATTGTATTTTTCTTCTTCAAGCTCGTTCAATCGCATCACTCGCCGAATTGAGTCAGGGTATTCCCAAGCGCGAAAACTCACACGTGACAGACGCAGTTACGCAACCTCATTGATCAGGAGAACGCTGGTTGGTGGATCGCATCTACCAAGCAAATATACCTTGTCCCAAGAATACATAAATTTCCCAGACCGTCAGCCTTGGAAGATGAACACGCTCGAATCGCGGCTCGACCGAAAGAGCGTCACCTCTGCATCTACATTGTAGAGAGGTAACGAGGACGAAATGTCGGAAGTGGTGGACGCGCAGGGGGCTAAACCGAGAGCATCTCGTGCAGGCAAGCCAAAGCTCAGGACCGGCTGTTTGAGATGTCGGTATGTAGCCATGGAGTTCGCCTTTTGTTCTTCTCCAAAGTTCCATACGCTCAGTAACGTCTGGCTCGTTGACTCATGCAGTTTAATACACTGGGAAAGATAATTGAAATGTGATAAAGGAAAGCCAAGATACCTACGTGTGCCATAAAGCCCCGACTAAATTGTAGCTACCGAAGCAGCAAGACTGCTCCATCGCAATCTAAATTATCTAACAAATTCCTCAAAAGCAATGAGGGGGAACATCTGAAAATCCGATATAAATTAAGAAAAGTCCTCCCTGTATGTCTACTAATTGTGAGTCTTGGGATTCTTGGGAACCTACTTGGCAGCCGATACACGGCACTTTGTTAGATGTGCAGATAGAATACTTCATTTAAGCACCCAAGTCTCAAGCCGCCGAAGTGAAATGGATCTCGAATCTCTCCTTGTAATACGACCTGTAACTCTCCTTCGACCGCAATATATGCACTAAGCGCTTTTTTGTGGATCCTAGTTATGAAGTTAAATTGTTGATCGCGTTCCAAGACGTCTTTTTGGCCAACGCAAATTGTATGAAGCCAACAAGCGCAAGCAACAAGCCTCCACCCCCTGGCGAACCCTCGGGCCTGCCTATTAAGATTACGAGCACCAAGCAGGACTGAATAGTTTGAATTATTAGAAGATTTAATGAGACTGACCCCAACTATCATTAGAATTGGCCACAATTCTCAACTATCCTTTAGCGTCTAACCACTTGTAGTACATTCTATATGTCCTCCTTCTAGGAGGATTTCCTTTGTTCCCGTGCGCGTCGCGGCATCGGAACCTTTATGACTGACGTTACTAAACTCCCCCGCCTGCCCCTGCATCCCCACCTTTGATTTAGGATTGAAGTTGAACGAGTCTCGAGGGGTCGCAAGCTCGTACATTAGAATAACTCGACAGCAAATCACCGAAGCCATAAAACGAGAGATGACCCGCAGGCTATCCTTCACTGAGATGAAAAGCATGCTAGAAAAGGCAAGGTTGCCGTATAAAACATGGCAGACGGTAAGAATGGAGGTGAACCAGCTAATTGCAATGAACCAATATGTTTCTGGAAGCACTTTAATGGTATGGGGCCGCTGCATTGACACGGGGGTAAAAAGGATTCGTAGATAATCGAAGGGCGTATTGCAGGGCAGTTGAGACTTCACTGTGACCCGGAGGTAAAGAGCAACTGCCCCGGAAGTGTGAATAGCTAGGTTGAGGACAGCCCATAGAAGAAGAAGGTAGGTGGTCTGAGGGGCAAAGGTGCAGGCTAACCTTCACCTAGACCCCATGCAACTTCTCGACGAGTTGTCTATGATTTACACTACGTGCATTATGGTCTACGCGGTATTCTCCCACCGCCAATCCACTCGCGCTTGTCTTGCAATTTTCCTCGCTATTTTGTCCCTTGCTGTGTTTATTACGGGCTGCTATCACTACCTCCAGGATCCAGTATTCCACCAAAATATGTTTGCGCTGCTTACTACCGTCGTCGTTTTGAGGAGCATGTGGATTATGGAGTTGCTGCTTCGACCATCACGACGAGTTAAAGGGGGAGACGTCGATTTGATTAGCGATGTTGCGGAGCAGGCCAGAGTTAATCGTCGAGATGAGGACATTCTCAAGACAATGTGGACGATGATTTCCTGCGGACTCAGTGCTGTCGCGGGTGGGTTTCTTATTTGGAACCTGGATAACATTTTCTGCGGAACCCTGCGGCGTTGGCGCCGAGATATTGGCTTGCCATGGGGCATATTACTAGAAGGCCATGGCTGGTGGTGAGTATTTTTGTTGATTTGGATGGTGATAAAGTGGCTAATAGCAATTTACAGGCATATCTTCACCGGAATTGCAGCTTATTTCAACCTTACCTGGGCTATATGGTTACGGTACTGTCGTGACGTTAAGCAAGATAATGTTCAGTTGGCATGGCCATCTGTCTTCACGTCTGTGCCTGTGGTGGTGAGAGTAGAAACCAAAAACGGCAAGTCCAATTAAGAAGTTTGATGTTTCAGCCCCAGATGTCACGGATCACTATTGCGAGGCCCTATCGTAGGTCGCACTTGCATATACTATACCATCTTAATAATAATACCTTTGCTTTTCCTATGCTATTTCCGAGGATCCCCATGTGAATGGCAATAAATGATCCCTGAATACTATATACATACCTGGAATAGGGTAACCAAAATAGAAGTCCGAAGGGATCGTGAGGCTACCTCAGCCGATGATTGCCTCGAGACTTTTGGATAGTGTCAATTATTTCAAAAAGAACTGATCAGAACCCGAAATAGACTCAAACGGAGCGAGAGCATATTTTATGGAATATCTAGGCCACATTGCATTGAACCTTTATGCCTGCGTTGCCCCTCATTACTAGGGAGATAGATTTTATTATGCTAAAGATTGTTGGCTAAGTTACCTTGACTTAAACCCATTGCTATTACCGCTCTTAGTTCCAACTATGTAGCTCAGGGTTGCAGTCTTGAGGTTAAAATAAATTAGAGGTTTGGTGGCAATGGGAGAAAAAGGTTCGACAGTGAAGTAATATTGGGGGCAAGGTTGAGTCCCTCCCATGGCGTGGCGTTCTTGACAGAGGGTTTTCCCGATGGCAAGTAACTTCTTCTCTGCTTTCTGAGAGGTTTCGTTTGCGTTGCATCCTATTGTATTGCCTGTTCTTTATCTCGATCTACATAGCCTTGCTTTAAAGCTTTAAAGTGCGTGAATTTCACTTCTATTATTATTACTCTATTCAAGAGCAATATAATATAGATTACTTGAATTTAAAATAAAGCTATAACTAAATCTAGTAATATAATTTTAATTTTAATATAAAATATAAAACTATTAATTAATTAATTAATACTTATTAATAATTTTTTTTTTATAATTAATAATTATATGTTTTTCAAATTATATTAAATATTATTATTAATTTCTTTTCTTGAAAAATTATTTAAAATATAATATTAAATCCTTAGTAATTCAAATTCTTTTTATATTTATATTTGATTGCTTTTAATAAAAGAAACTTTTAAATAACTTAATATATATTTTATTTTTATAATTACTTAATTTATTATTTTATATTATATTTCTATATATTTTCTTTAATATTATTTAATAGTTTCTAAAGTAAAGATACTTATATTTTACTGAAATTTGCTTATTTTAATAGAATTAAGAAAAATAAGACAAATACTTCTCGATAATAAAGCCACTTCTTAGCTTCTTATAGTATTATTAATATCACGCATTTCTAAAGACGCCGATTGAAGTTTATAACATTCAAGATAATAATACAGCAGCAAGCCCAACCATCCCCGGCATACCCTGAATAAAGAAGATCTTCTTATTTGCCGTAGCCCCACCCACCGCCCCAGCAGCCAACACGCATCCCAAAAAGAAAAGCTGAATCTGTTTCCCGAAGTCTCGAACCGGATGGAACAATCCCCAGTACAGCCCTGCGGCTAAGAATCCATTATACAGTCCTTGATTAGCGGCAAGGACCTTTGTACTCTCAGCGAATGCTGGTGTGGTGCGGAAAGCTTTTCGGCCGCGGGGAGAGGTCCAGAGGAAGGATTCGAGGACCATGATGTAGATGTGCTCGGTGGCGACGAGGAAGACGGGGATGGAGGAGAGGGGTGGCATTTTGGGTTCTGGAAAAGAGATAGATCTGGGGGAGAGAATGGGATATGAGAGATGGAAAAGGGGCGAAAGTTGGGAGGGATTCAAATAAAGGTTTGCATGCAGTCAATAACCGAGGCAATTTTACAGAATGCGATCACATGTTTAGACAGGGGGGTGGATCCCGAAGCACAGGTGCATAAATACTCCTCTCTACACAAATCCCAGCATGTCGCATAACGCGCACTAAGTGAGGAACGAGTGCATATATACGGTACCCGGTGTAGGCGGCAAACTCTCCACAATGCCTCATCTCCCTCCCGTTTTGTTCTCTTTCATTAATTCGTGCTTCTCCTGCGCATACCACTCTCACGGACGCATCTTGACATGGCCACCGAAAGCACAGCAACCCAGCTGTCAATTGAAGTTGTAAGGTTTTCTTCCCTATCCATCAGGAACACGAACTAAATGTATTCTCCAGGAAGGCGAAATTGAAGCAAATCCCAATGAGTATATCCGGCCAAGTTGACTGAGATGATTTGTCACGAACAAAGTTAGCAGCACTGGGAGTGACACTACCTCATTGTCTTCTGGTGTCGCGAAGTTTCGATACGAGAATCGAAGGCGATATCATGGCTACAAGGATGGATTGTACAGTACATGATTGTCTATCAACTTCCATCCTCTCCACAAGAAAATTATCGCAGCCGAACAACGACATATAGCTGAGTGTTCGGGATCTTGGGTCAGCTCCATGCACATTATAGAGGAAGTATAATAACAACAAGCAACAGTTACCATATCTTGCTTATCCTGCCCGACAATAAGCTTCATCTTGCTCCAATTCCCGAGAAGCCACATGCAAGTGAATATTGCCCTCAGTTGCTCTTCTTAACTAATACATTGCCAGCAAATATTAGATATCGGCACAGGTACGGACATTTGGGCAACATGGTTGGCTGCCCCCCCTCGTCTCGGGTTGTTCTTTCTGACCCGAACAGAGAAGTGAGTATTCAGTACAATTCCGCTCAGGCAATGGGCACCAACTTGTCTTCAGTTCAGCCAACTTCTCCATCTCCCACTATAAATTGGAAATTGACAATGCATCAATCCAGTGGATGTTCACCCCAAGTAGCACTGGTCTCGTATTCATGTGTTTCATGCTTGACTGCTCCGTAAACTGGCCAACTATTTACAAGGAAATATTCAGGCGAGGAATTTATTTTCCTGTTCATTTATCTTTCTTCTGAAACATTTTAAGGGTTCTCAAGTTAGGTGGATGGCTGGAAGCAGCCAGCTTTGTCAACGTTTTTGGGAAGAGGTACAAGCTCCCCATCGGCATTTGACCAGCAGGCCCCAAAACGGAGGAATTAGAGATGCAGTTCCGCGCCTATATTAAGGATGGTATGGAAGGATATGCAATGGCCTTGCTGACTCGGGTTTTGCAAGTAAGGACAACTTCGTCTTTTTCTTGCACACGGCACTCAGGCTAACTGACTTTTCCGGTTCTTAAGAGGGAGGACGCCGAGGCTCAAGTGTTTTTTTGCCCAGCTCATAGCCGCCTTCAAGGACAAGAAAGTACACACATATGGTATGCAAGTTCCCTAAAATTGGAGAACTCATTAGAGAAATCTTCGCACTTATAATTAATGAGCGTTTAGCACTTGCATCTACGAGCAAAAGCTGCTTGCCACTTAGGAACAAGTTCCTGTGCCAGAAGCTATCCCTGTTGCTGCTTTTCAGCCCCCGGAGGTCTATATCGACGTTCTGACAATATACGAGGAGGGTGTTTATAGTTCGTTGGCGTTCCTAAGCTTGCGATCACTTGGTGCGACTCAGTCTGCAAATTCAAATACTCGCCCTGCAACGCTTGCGAAAATGAATAAGCTAAGATTGAAGTACCACGTCCATGCACCGTATTCACTGCGGAAAGCAGCTCGTCGAGTAAGAGCAATATGTTAACCTGCGAGAGATAAGGTATCCTCATAGTGTCTTTCAATTTGTCCACAACCGCAGTGGCTTGGTGGGTGTTTGAAGTCGGCACTTCACCCAGCCACGCAGCGTGCACCCGCGTAAGCGCTATGTCAGTTGCCAGAAACAGTATATTGGTTCCTAATAATGGCTTGAGTTATCTGGAGTCCTCTTGATCGGTGGCGGCTCTGGGTTTACTGAGTCTAGAAAACGTTAAACGGAGTCCCTGCTGGTTCCTCATCCTCACCCCAGTATTCCCACTTGGCATCACTTGTTTCTCGGTCATTTCCAAGAAACCCACGCAGGAAAAACTATAACACGATCGCAGCCGAAATTCAATTCAATGATTTTGTCTGCCATGTCACTCTCCGTCACGCAAAGCATTATTATCCACTTCCCCTTTTCGTTCTCCCAAGCGCCGTCAGCCCTCTAAATATCACCAGTATTGTTCAATGGATCGATAATACTATCCTCAAAGGGCCAAACTCTCCGCGACGAGTTGAAATACTATGCTCTCCCATTTGAGGGCATTGGCTTTGTATCACACCTCCTCACATATTACACCATCGTTATGTTGGCAAGGGGTCGGAGTCCATGTCGATTTCAAGAGAATCACCATGGGATATTAACACATTTCTGGCCATCGTTGGTCTACTCTTTACCCTCGCAACCTCTATATTACGATGTTGAGGTCAGACAGGGGTGGGAGTTTATGGTTATTGCATCTTGGACAATGGCAATGTCGTTGATCTTGTCTGTTATCGCCACTCATTCTTCAATAATTGTGCGGCGACGGAAGCTTCCAACAGACCACCAGAAGATTTTATGATGGCTTTCCCTCTATCTGGCACTATTGCTAGATCTGCCGGATTATTTTCGCTCGTTCGTGGGTCCTGGCAAAATCACATCGTCTGGTGCTTGACAGTTGGATTTCTTGCAATCACAGGAGCTTTCTATTTGTTTGGAGCTGTAGTAGTATGGCATGCGGAGCCATATGATCGGAAGATGACAAGACATATATTTGCTGCCTTTACGGGGGTTTTGTGCCTCTGCGTTGGGGCAGGTGTATTGGCAGCCCTCTACAGCGACTGGGTCGCTGCTATTGTGGATAATTATGCCGGAATCCAGTTGGAAACGTTAAGGTTCTATACTGGACCTATTTGCGGCGAAGAGACTGCCATTCTCTCCTTCTAGCTTATGCTACTACCCCTCAAATTGATCCTTGCAGCGTCATATATGGCATCTATATCCTCCATCCAAATCCACTTCATCCTACTCTCAATCCTCGCCTTTACTAATGGCATACAATCATCAAATGTGAGACCTCTCATATCTGGCGACTGCATCTCGTAGATGTCACCAGCTTCTCTTGTCGTCTCTTGAACCTTCTGAGCTCTGGGTAACCTCACCTCTTGATACAGGTGCAGCTAGTCTTTTATGTCGACAGACGATTTGAAGAAGTCCTGCATTGCGCGACTAAGAATGTAACCATCTTCAATCGCCTGACCGGCACCAGCACCTGACTTGTTATTAGGTTAAAGTATATGGGTTTGGATGCGTACCTTGGTATGGCAGCATGGCATGAGCGGAGTCTCCCACCAATACCACTTGGCCGTCCTCGTACACCCATTCTGCAAGCGGATCTCGATCATTGAGAAGCCATTTTGACGGCGTGGATGTAAGTTTACCTATAACCCTTTAAACAGTCTCTTCAAATCCAGCAAAATCATTTCTCATATCCATAATATCACCTGTGCAAGACCAACTTTCTTTGAGATCTCCCAATTCGACCCGGTCCTTGGTGACAAACCCCACCACATTCAATAATTTGTTTTGACTGATTGGAAAGACGAGAAAGTGCCTGTCTCGGGCCATCCACTGGACAGATTTGGTCGGAAAACGCCACCCTTCTGCGATACTTTGCACCTCAACAGGTCCCCTCCAGGCAATCCTGCCACTGTATATTGGCCTGTCAGTGACGTACTGGGATCTCAAGGCAGAATGGATGCCATCGCATCCAATAATGGTCACATGATTGTCAAATCTCTGCCTACAGTTAGTTCTCCGCATAAAGGAGTTAAAGGGGTGGAGAAAATACACCTTCACGTGCTTGCAACACTTCTTCGTAAACAAGGATGCCGCACCTCGCTCCCTCACAGCAGCCAGAAGCAGATCTAGAAACTCGGCTCTTTGAACCGGAGAGTTTCTGAATTTCTGTGCAAGCTCCTCCCGTACCGTGACAACTTCCTCGCCAGTGTCAAATCGTCGAAAGGTGATCCAGAATCCTTCCGTATTCCCTGATATCCCGCTCAGGCGTTCTCCCAGTCCAATTTTATACAGTAACTTTGCAGCATTGACTCCAATTCCCACACCTGCACCAATCTCCTTGTACTCTGAAGCTTGCTCGTAGGCTGATATTTGAACATGATTTTTGCAGTGCCAATTCAGCGAAAGAGCTGAGAAGAGGCCACCAATTCCACCGCCTATGATGGCAATTCGAAAAGGATTGGGAATCTCGGACATGATTCATATGCAGGTGAGCAAGCAGGAATGAGTTCTGGGTCAGCATTTTCTAGGCGGGGTATGTCGGTTGCGACGGTTAAATGTGCTCCCTCCCCGATCCTGAGGTGCCGACTTAGCCATGACTGGCTTAATGCTCCGTTCGGTGGCGATAGCGCACTCTGAGGGTCACAAATGCTTGCTAATGTGTCATATGGGATAAATTCTCTGTGGTCTTCCTCAAAACACTTGGGATCCTGAAGATATACTGAAGCGCTAACTTCTTAAAAGGGGCTTAAGGGGCTTTCTCGCTTCACTCAGGGGCGGGATAATGGGGTCGCTAAAAAAATTGGAGAGTTTTAGAGTCCCCGACGTCACGACTTTTCAACCTTCAAATCACCCCAACTCCTCTTCAAACCTTCAACGACCCAGATGTCTCTAACATGCCCCCTCCAGATGAAATATTCGCCAATTGGCGTGGTCTCGTCGATCATAACATCCTCGCGACTATACGAACAACGTTCGAGCTCCCGTCAGAAGACAATTACGTCTATCGAGCTGAATCATTCGCGATGACGCTAAGACAGATCGAGGAGCAAGTCCATACTGGCAACCTTAGATGGAAATATCAAGCGCATGGGCAGCAGATAGAGGTGAGCTCTGTGGGAGGGTGTGCAGTCGACAGCAGTATTAACTGACTGAAGATTCCGTCTGCGGACATAACGGCATACACCTCGATCTTCTCCCCGACGACTCATACCGCCGGGGCCTTGACTTCCTTCCACTCGAATGCAAAGAAAGGTTCCCCACGAGCAACTGTTGCTGAATACCTCCAATCACGACGTCTTTCGCCTTTCAAGATCCCCAAATCAAAAGCGCACATCAATCCATACTACGATGTTTGGGTACAATCCTGCCAACTGACGACATTCCTCGGCCCCCTTCCCAATCCCTCATACTCGCACCCTCTTAATGCCAAACAGACGCACCCTGTGCTTCCCGTCCTTTATCATCATTTTGGATGTGTTGTGCCGACTTGGGAGGCGTTGAATATCATTGCACAACTGGGCAAGGGGGGAGTTATTGACATGGCGAGTGGGAATGGATACTGGACATACATGCTGCGACGCATGAATGTTGAAGTCGTTGCTATTGACAACATGGCGAGCGAATATCGGACAATGTGGATTTCGAACACGGTGAAGGCAGATGGAATTGAATACTTGAGGAAGAATGCTGGCGGGCAGGGAAAGGTGTTGCTGATGGTTTATATCGTCACAGCAGGTACTTTCACGAGGAGACTGCTGGAAGCATATCGAGGAGACAGAATTATTGTTGTTGGAACACAAAACAGAAACAGATACACTGGGTTCACTGATTGCACGATGGAAGAGTACTTTGAGAAGGAAATGACTGACTGGGAGAAGGTCTGCAGGATTGAGATGCCAAGTTTCGCGGGCAAAGACGAAGCGATGTTTATATGGGAAAACAACTGTGGCAAGGCGACAATATAGGACACATTCATATATTTCGGCACGTCAGCGTCGGAAACTAGCCGCTTAGTTGCTCTGATTCTTGCACCGAGGAGTACCAATGGAAGCTTTTGCTATCCGGGTCCCCGACCACGGCGTCGTATCGCTACTAGTTACCAAAATACAACGTTCTGAAGTCACAGGGAGTCTTTGCAGGTACTTGTCCAGCCTTGGCGGCTCCAGGTAATCGACTTCTTTTGGAATTATGCTGGCTGAGGGCTCAACCTTCCTAACTGATGACAGGGAACTTGCGGAAAACTAACCAGAACTTCATGTCGAAGAAGCAGCGCACCACCTCGGAAAAGTGCCCAAGATTAGTAACTTGGCGAGTGGCACAATTTTGGTGGTCGGATTAGCCTCTTCCCGGGTTTAGAGCGATGAAGCCGGTGCTAGCGGCCCCACTTTTCGAATTCAAAGAAGTCAGAGAAATGTCTCCACGAGCCCAGTCTGCACGAGTGGGCATGATTCGAACGATTGCGACTATCCATTCCGATCTGGTTATACGAGCAGTTATTGAATTGGCATCTCTGCGAAGGAGAGAGGACCGTGTGTACGGCGGAAAGGAAAGGACCTACCTTTGGGAGTACCATAATCGATCGAGCAAGATAAGGTTGCACAGAGATGCAAGAAGATGATGTTCGGCCAACGAGATGCAAGTATGTGAGCGCAGATTGAGCAACTGTCCGGCCTGTCGCCCAATAAGAGGTTCGCCCACTTCAGGAGTTTGATGGTAGAGAACCTGGGAGTACTTCGCAAGCAATAGAGCAGGGTCAACCCATGGCATCCAGATATAGCTTAAAATGGGTAAGTGATAAATAGTGCCACTATCCTTCAATAAACTGTAAGAAGGTCTCCGACTATCACAAAGTCAACACAAGAAATCCACCAATCTGAAAAATGCGACTTTCGACAGGTCCTTTGGTTGTGTTGGCGGCCTCTTCTTCTGCCGCAACTACTTTGCTCAAAGTTGTAAAGCCCAATGTCGTCCCAAGCACCTACATTAGGCAATTTAATCTAGGAACATGTATGCGAACCCGCCAGTACACTTGTCAAACGTTGACCAAAACTAAGGTTCCGCAGATACCTTCTATCAAAATCTTACGGCTAATGGAATTGATACTGTCCATCGTCACACCTTGCAACCCAGCGTTTTTTTCTGGGAACATCATTCCACTTGACTTCAGACACCAAGACCAGCCTGGATGTCATTAGCAATCTTACTCAAGTCAAGTTGATCACTCCGGTGGGACTGTTCAACAGTCTCCAGAAGACGCCTTCCTTAGTGAGGCTAATGATTCGACTTGAGAGAAGCTTGGAGTCCCTCGGTGTCTGAAGAATTATTTTTTCTTTATTTGATTTCTCAATAATTGTTCGCCTCAGCCTTGCCGGCTGCAATCGCTATTCGTTCGGGTGGTAGGTGGTTAAGTGCGTGCAATTCGTTGGGAAATGCGAACCTTTTGCCTCAACAAACAAATTCTCTTATTGCTTGCGGCTGCCTTGCAAACATCCTTCTATCTATCATCTGATATTTCAGCCGCATGCGCTGCTGTTATCTTGGGTTTATTTTGAATCGCGGAGCCCAGACTGGCCAGCGATGGGGACTCTGGTTTACCAGCCTTTGGATCTCACGCTGAATCAATTTCGGCTTCTCCGCTTCGACTCCTCTGCCTATCCTCCACAATGGAAGATCTTCAATGCTAGTCTGGATGACAACATAAGGTATGAGGCTCTGTCGTACAGATGGGGAGATGAAAAGTCAGAGGTGACGATCATGATCGAGGGACAACTCATCACTGTTACCCCCAATCTCTCAATGGCACTGGCAGATGCTCAGCCCACCATCAAAGATAGTCCCCTCTGGGTTGACGCTTTGTGTATTGACCAGCACAATATCCTGGAGCGCAATCACCAGGTTCAGAAAATGGCAACTATCTATCGGAAGGCGAGCCGAGTTCATGCTTGGCTCGGAATGCCTGATAAGCAGAATTCAAGTTTTGTTCCATTTCTCCATCGCCTTGGAATTATCCTTAGCAGAAATGTATATTCAGATAAAGGAGATAGCAGGGTGGAGACCTTACTGTCCGCAATCCAGGAAAGACAATACGTAGCTGACTGGATCTCGTTGGCTGCTGGTACCGAGCTTCCTTATTGGAACAGACTTTGGATCGTTCAGGAGATCGGCTTGGCCTCTGATCTGGTTGTTCATTACGGGTCATCGCCTATTGATTGGAAAATCTTCGCCCGAGTGAGGAAAGAGTTGGCGAAGATTTACCCATGTTTTCGTTGTCCTCAATGGTTTCGCCCGATTGCCAGGACTATACTCCAAAGCATCCCTGCTCAAATCGAGAAGCATAGAGACCGTCAACAACGTCCAATATGGCTTGAGGAATTTTACATGTATCTTTGGATATACATACGAATAGCCAAAAAGATCACTCAAGAGGAATACCAATCTTCTTTTAGCACCACGTTCCTATCAAACAGGGATAAGAGGGCTTTTGTAGCTCGTGAGAACTCATGGATCTCGGACCTAGAGGTGGGGCTCGGGGGTCTGCCGGCAGGCATAAAGCTGTTGAACTAGCTTAATAAAGCTAAGAATCACGTGCTTGCAATGTAAACCAAGTAATACGTACTGAATTGACTGCTGTTCTATAGTGGTAAGTAGCCTGTTATATAGCCCTGAACTCCCTAAGTCACATATACTAAACCCCTAAACCAAAGAGTCTTATACTGAACCATTCAACCTCAGCTGAACCGATTTAGCCTCACAGGGCATATTATGCCCTGAATCAAACTTACAGGGCATAATATACTCAGTAATAAGCCTATAGCTTAAGCCCCATTAGTGCACAGCCCCTGAGGCTCCGTCCCAGGGCTTACTAAGCCTTTTAGGGACCTCAGGCCCCTAATTTCAACAAAAGCATCCGCCGGAACAAAGTTATCGTCAATTCGACCGCGGCTTGCTCCAACAGATCGAAAGTCTTAAGGTTTTGCTGAAGAATCCTGATTTCGCCATTGCCACTTCGGACGATCGTTACATTCATCCACACGTAATTCTGGAACACACTCTCTCATCGCAAACTCCTAGTCGTTCTCTTCGAGACTTCCTCCAAGCAGCCACTGAAATCCCTGCGCAAAATATCAACTCCGGTGCTACTTCCATCTTCTTCTCATTACTGTACGGGGCCATCCTCCAGAAACTGCGCTCCATCCCTCCTCAAGCCTCTTGAAGAAGAGCTCGAAGACTATCCGGGCCTCGTTTTTGATGAAGGGATACTTGCGATTCATGAACCATTTGATCCTCTGTTGCATTATTGGGATAGCCTTGAGAGAAAGTCGAGATCAGAATATTCCGGAGAAGTCACCTCTGAAATCATCAATGTTCATGCGCTAGCAACCCTGCTTGAGTGTGTCAAAGAGGTACCGTTGGTAAGGAGGTATGTCACAAGTCGCGAGAACCGCGAAACCACAGGTTCTACGACCTTTGAGTTTCTGTGGACTTTCTTCCCTCCGGGTAGCCTTGTGGTGGCTGCTGTCTCTGACCACGACCAATTGATGAAGGTTGAAGCTTGCAAGCCAGCGCAACATGGCGATGATGAAAGTCAAGATGTATTTTGCAGTATGTATGATTGGGTTCAAAATACTTTGAAGAAGGTGACTTATAAAATGTCAATACCACGATATGCTGGTAAGAGACATCTGGAGGGATTTCCATGCTGTCCCTTGAAATATCACCCGACAAAAGTAGAAGAGTCAGAGACCTTGGATCGTCTTTTGGAACGAGGGGAACGATTTTGGGAAATATGCAAAAGGAGTCGGTCTGAAGGTGGGTTACATTATTTGTATGATGGGCCAGCATGGATGTTAGAACAGAATCTTGCAGTAAGTTGTCTCAAAGGATCTGACAAATCGTTGACTCTCGCTTGTAGGGAGGGAATCTGTCTCACATAGGGTTGTACAAATCCTCTCAAGTCAGCATATCGTCTTCGGGTTCAGTCAAATTTGCGAAGGTGAGATTTATCGTCACTAGTCCTCGTCCTCTGATATGCTGCTAATGTAACCGGGCTCTCTTAAACGAGCGAGTGATTCTTGACCCTTTAGCTTATTCTCAACACGCGCTTTCCAGAGCAGTTCTAGGTAACTGGGAATCTACAACCAATTATGTTAGATGCGGCTATAGACGTTGTCTAGAAGCCCATGTGTGCGATGAGAGGTTCGGGGGAGAGAATGAGAAACCCGGAAAAGATATTCTGATGCTACTACCCTGGAGACATCTTGGCTTTGCTCTCAACAGCAAAAAATGGGCACAATTCTCCATCGAAATGTCTCACCGATTTCATACAGCGACTCTTACACTGAGTTCAATATAATGGCCCTCTCGGATAGCGATAGAGAAACACTCAACTTGCTCAATATGAGAGCTGAGACTTTCGTTGAAAGGCTTCGCACAAAGACAATCTCGTGAGAGATCTGATACAATAAAAATATAACAGGGTCTTTCGTGTGATGATGAAAGGTTAGATACCTCGCCTCTCTCTTTATAGACGTGCTGACCAAGTACAGGGAGCCCCGGCACAGGACGGACGCTTGCCATCGAACTTCTAGCAGAACATCTCAGCTGTCCAATGCTCATTATCAATGTCGATGACATTGACAACAATGACAGAGGCGATACTTCACATATTCTATTTGACTTAGCCCTGCGTTGGCAGGCTTTTATCATTGTGTAAGATAACCTGTTCTATGTTTAATTAAAGTTTTAGCTAACCAGGACCTCAGGCAAGACACAGCGCCGATCATTGATATGACAACAGACCAGTCGGCATCGAAGGCAGTCGGTATGTCAAATCCAAATCGCAGGTGACAGTAACTAAAGTTATAGCCCTCACTCGAGTCTTAGAGTGGTCACAAGGTAACTCAAAGGATGAAATTGACCCCCAATTCTCCAATTACATTGATCTGATAGTTACTACACAATTTGGCCTCACTGATGTGCAGAGTACGAGTATTTGGAAAATGTTCCTAAATCAGCTACGACCAGAGGCTGTGCTTGACATAACAGCAATTTACACTGCTATCGAAGATGTGTTTACGATATATCCACTCAATGGATCACAAATCAGGAAAGTTGTCCGCACGCAGCGTGTCAAATGATTTAGTTTGATTTGATTATAGCCTCTGAATCAAATCAAATCAAGTCAAAATTTGCTGAATCAAATCATAATCAACTATAATTAACTATAGTTAATTATAATTAATTACCCTTGATTTTTTTTTGACACACTGTCCGCACGGCACTCGAAACATCCAGCTCGGAGCATAGGAAATTGACTGAACAAGACTTGTACAAGTCTTTGGCTACTGTCACTTCGCAAGAGTACGAACTGGACTTGGTGACCGATGGTACATTCTACGAACAAGTGGATTATACCGAAACCCTGCATGGCGATCCAGACGTCAAGGAGCTCCCGGAGGCTTCCTGGTCTTTACCGGCCGATGGCCGTGTGGATTTGACTTTCGCGATGGATTCTTTGATACGCTTAGCCCCTTCCTCAAGCGGTGTCCCACATCCATTACGCTCAGACATGCATCCATTACGCTCAGTAATGGCCTTTTATCGAGACCTTCTCCACTGCGGTGGGGATTTCTACATCCTTGATTGGGGCTGGCCGAAGGGCCAGTGGCGACCCTCATCTGGCCTGGTGTACCGTGTTGGAATGTTATCGCAACGAGCAGAAGTTGTCTGGAATCGAGAGCAATTAACTTACAGGCCTAGGAAATATAAAGACACCATAAACGGCCACGGTAAACCTTGGCCCCGCCTGATGTGAGTGTTGCAGAAGTGACGACAAGTGTTTTGCTTACCGAAAAACAGCCTGTGCCAGGGGATCTACAGACTTCTCTCCAAAGAAAATACTTTTCAGCCCCGAAGTCCTTCCCTGGATGGGGAGGCCAGTATCCTGGAAGAATTTCCGCTCTTGATGTCTCACGACAACGGGACAATTTTGAAGCACCTGGCACTACATACTCACTGTCTCTCTCAAACATCTCATATGGTCTCTACAAATCCTTGTGGAATTTCATATGGAAGGGGAATTTTAAATGAAGGCTTTCACATTGTTTACTTCGAGATCTTGAGCTCCTATTCGCAGGCCATAGGCAGCTGGGATATTGAAAGTTTCTATAATCCAGACCTGCCAAAGTTCCAAAAGAGCGCCTTCACTGTAAGACTAGAAACCTCAGTCATTAAAAAGTCGTGATGCTAACTTTTCCAAGCTTCTGTCAGTGCCTGGAGAAACGACGAAGTTAGATACAGACTATTGGACTTTTCTATGCTTCACGGCCGAGGGATTTGCATTTCAAGACGAGAAACTATAATCACCATCCCTCAAATGTCAGTCAATCTACTATATCGCAGCAGCTATGAAAAGAATTGTGATCCATTGGGACTCAATACTGAAAGGCATCGAAAGAATCATTGATGGTCACATGTTTATGTACCCAGAGAAACTGCAAGCTACTTTCGTCGAGAATGAGTCATTTTCTCAGTCTCGAAAGTTCTATTGGGCTATCAAATCGATTAACGAGTTCGTCAAATACTTGAGCGACGACATCCAGCAGTGGAAATTGTACCGGGAAGCTCGTGTGGCCCGGTTCATCGTACCGAAGACCGAACACTTCAGAATCGCCAAAAACATGGGCAAGCCATGGTATTCTGTCAAGGCCGCCGGCGAGGCGGCAACAACGGCCTGCGAGGAGCTAGAGGGCTTACGGCGGCGGTTTGAAAGCAGATTGGAGGAAGTGAAAGTCATGAGGGATGGGGTAAGTGGTTTCTGATACGTATGAGATTAGCAACTGTCTGACGCCAAACAGCTCTTCAACGCTAGCGCTGTTATCGAGAGTCGCTCAGCAACTCGACTAGGCGAAAACGTCATGCTTCTGACGTACATAACCATCTTCTTCCTCCCTCTTGCATTCTGCATGGTAAGTTTCGAACACTTAAAAAGTCCATAAAATCTTCAAGCTGATGGGTGCCGTCAAAAGTCCGTCTGGAGCATCAACGAAGCCTATGGACGAAAGACTCTCGCCTGGGTTTCTGTCCTCGTAGCTCTCGCCACATACCTAGCCACGTTCAATCTCAACAACGTAGTGCGGATTCTTCGAGGCGCGGTGAACGCAGTGTATGAGCCACGAAAAACAGCTCTTGTTCTCGCTATGGTCAAGGACGAGAAGATTGAGTGGAGAGATACGGGCAAGAAGTTCGAGGCGTACCGGCTGATCCGCCCGGATGACACCCCTTCCGAATGGAATATTCCTTTATTTGCTTTGCGGAAGATTGTACGGGGTTTTCTGGGACATTTTAAGAGAAGAGGGTGGTGAGAAGCAGACCGCGTAGGCTTTCAGCAAACTGAGATTTGTGATGCTCTGCAAAATGTTCCCGCTTTCAGTATTATATAAGGATGAGAATAAAAAGAGATTGTTATTAGACTGTTCAAAGCTTTGTGGCTGTTCAAAACTCCCATGCCGTCCTTTGCCCTCCTTGAACAAAGCAGCACCTTTGACGCTTTCCGCACTAATAACATCCACCCCATGTTCAAATTCATTCTGCATAGCACCCTCGAACGAGCTCGCATTATACGCACTATAACAGCACGAATCAAGGTCCAAATTCATATACAGCTGCGGGAAAACCAGTAACTGACTAGCAATAGCAGTCGCCTCCTCCAACGCCTTCCCCTTCGGCACAACCCGATTCGCAAGTCCCATAGCAAGCGCCTCTCTAGCATCAACAGGCCGACCAGTCAATATCTTCATTGTCAGACATTGCTGGCTCTCTTCCCCAAGCTCCCCTTTCCTCGGAGACAGTGGCTTATGCACAAGATTCACAACACAGATCATCTTCCGGCATACTTCGACAAGCAGTTCATTGCAAGACCATCCCACAGCTGTCGGGAAGATAACGGCATAAAGTATCGGGAATACAGGGCATTATTTTATGAAGGCCACTAAATGCCCTGTAAGGTCTTACTTTAATTTCCCTATCCCTTCGTCCGGTGAGACATGGTCCGTACTAGCAAGGGGGCCTGGCTCAGGGCGAAAAGACGTACCTTTGCTTAGAAACTTATTAGTCATAAATCGCCTTTTTGCCCTGAGCCAGGCCCCCTTGCTAGTACGGACCATGTCTCACCGGGCGAAGGGATAGCTAGTCCTAGTCCCCTGTAAGCCCTGTAAGGGTCCCCTGAAATGTGGCTTACCTCGCTAAACCTCTGATTTCAATTATTTTTTAATTAGTTTGATTCTATCTATAAAAATAACTATCTAATATATAGCCACTTTCTCTTGGCCCTTGTTCCTACCTTCTTTATACTTATTTCCCCCTTCCAAACATATTATCTCCTTTATATAATCAGGAATTACTATAATTCACTCTTGAATCTTGCTCTGGGAAAGGTCTTCCCAGCATTTCTCCCATCTCACTCTTAGCTTCTTTCTACTACTAGTAGGTCTCCGCTTAGTAATCTCCTTTTTCATCCAAAACCAGGCTTTTTCAGTTATATTAAGATTAAGTAAGTTCCTTAACCAAAGTAACTTTATAATCTTTTATAGATTATAAACCTTCCTTTAATAATATAACTTATAAGGTCTTATACTATTCTCTTATATAAGGGTATAAAGATAATTCTTTTAGTATTTCCTTATAAAGAGCAAGAGCTTCTTAATTAAGATCCTGTTTTAATATTAGTACTAATTAATTAATTCTTATTTATTTTTTATAATAAAAGTACTAGTTTTCTTATTATATTTTTATATTTTTTATACTTTTCTAAAAGTTCTCCTATAAGCCTTTTTCTATTTTCTAAATTATTTCCTTTATTTCTTTCTCTACTTTTATTTATTAGCCTTTTTAACTAACGAATTCCTTATATTAAAATTAGCTTTATAATCTCTTTTTTTTTTTATAAAGTCTTCTTTTTCTATATATATTAAGGCTTCTTTTTAAGTAAAAGAAAGAATCCCAAAATATAAACTCAGAAAACTCTTTTTATTTCTTTTATATATAATACTTATTATATACTTCTTTAAATAATTTTTAAATATATTTCTTTTCTCTTATTTCTTCTAATTAAAAAATAATCTTATTTATAAAAATTACATCTTTCTAATTATTAAATATCTAATATTCTTATTTTAAGTACTAGGCTAATCTTTCTATTTTATTAAGGCTATTTAAGCCAGGCTCAATTATTAATTTATATTAAAAATAGCCTATATAAGTAAAAACCTTTTATATAGTTTTAAATATAATTTTTTTTATAGTTTCTTTTCTTTATTTCTTTTATAATTATAATATAAGAAAAGCCTCTTATAATAGTATTTTAAAAAACAACTTTTAAAATATATTTAATTATTTTAGAAAAGATTATAAATTAATTAAATCTTGGTATATTAAGTATATAAAAGATTTCTAAAAGTATATACTTATTTTTTATTTATTAATATTTTCTAGCTATAACTATAAATTAATAAAGAACTATTTTAGATATTTCTATAACTTTTCTAATTTATTTTAAAAACTTCTTATTCTCAGATATATAAAGGCTTTAATTCTAATATTAGTAAAGTTATAATAAGTTAAAACCCGATTTATATACTTAGCTAAAAGCCTTTACTAAGTTATATAATATGCCTTTTTGGGTTAATAAAATAATTATATATTATTTAGAAAACTCGAATACTTTAGGGAATATAATTCTATTTAGTTAATTAAATTACTAGTTTTCTTTATATAAAGATCTAGCCTATAATATTAGAATTCTTTCTTTTTTATCTTTATTAACTAGAGATTATATATATAAAGCTAGAAATAAGAAGTACCTGAACTTATATATAGAAAATAAAGCTCGAAATAAATAAAGCTAGAAATAGACTTTATTTAAAACTATTTATAAAGCTAATACTTTAGTAAACTTTAGAATATATAAAAGCTAATAATAAAAAGTGCCCGAAATTATATATAAAAGCCAGAATACTAACTTAACTAGTTAATAGTAGGAATTATTTGGGTTTTCCTAAGCCTGGCTTAAAAAAAGAAAACTATTAGATTTCTTTATTATATAAAAATTTAGGAATAATACTTCTAGTAATTAATTAATTAAATAAATAGCTATATTATAAAGCCAAAATAGTAAATAAAGTTCCCTAATAGCTATAAAAAGCTTTTATAATATAATTCTAATAGTTATTAAAGCTAGTTATATAATAAGTAAACTTAATAGTAAATCTAGCTATATAAATTAAATTAATTAATAAATATATAATAACTTCGAATTTTTTATAAATATAAATACTTTTTTTATTTTATATATTTCTTTAATTTCTTTTTATAAGATAATTAAAAGCCTGCTTCCCGAATTCTAATAAGTTTAATAGAAATAACTTAGTTCTATATTTCTAGTTTAAAAAACTCTTATAAATAAAACTAGAAATTAATAAAAATTTAATTAGTAAAAAGAAAGAAAGAATTTAATACGGGTTTAAATACTTGTCCGGGAAAGTAATAAGCTAGATATATTTATAGCTAGAATATATCCGGAAAAAAGAGAGATTTATAATTAAAAAACTATTTAAATAAATAAATCTAGTCTTTTATAGTTCTCAAAAATAATAAAAAGCCCTAGTAAAATTAAATCGAATTTAGTAAAAATTAATTTCCTTAGGTAAATTCTTAAATAATTTAAATAATTTAATTCTAGAAATAAAAAAATAGAAATAATAAAATAAAATTAAAAAAAAGTATTTTAAAGTTATTATTATAACTAAGCTTATAAAAGAAATAATAGAAATAAAAAAAGAAGAATTATATAAAAAGTACTATTTCTAGTTATAAATAATTAATAATTAGCTAGCTAAAATTAAAAATATAAAAGCCTATTACTCGAACTAGTTAAATAAAAGACCTAAGAGTCTTTTTTTTATACCTAAAACTACTTTATTTATTTAGCTAATAGAATAGAAGCCTATTATAAGTAATATAAGATAATAATTAAAAAGTACTTCTAATTAGGTCTTTTAGAATAAAATTAATTAATAAAAGAAAAAAAAACTTTATTTTTAATATAATTAAAATAATTATTTTATATATAATTATTAAGTAAAGTTATATTCGAGCTCTTTTTTCTAAGCTTATAAATAAAAAAGAAAAAAAAAGAAAAAATAGATAAAAGTAAAAATAAAAAATATAAAAATATTAAAAATAGCTCTAAAAAAGCAAAAATAATTCGGGAAAAAAATACTAATATCTTAAATAGAAATAGTAATAGAAATAAAAAGAATTTAAATTTATTTAATTCGGGAAAAAACTAGTTTCTAATAAAAATTACTATTAGAAATATAAGGAAATAAAGTTAAATTAGTAAATTTAAAAGTAATTTCAGAAAAATATAATTAGACTTTCTTTTCTTATATTAATAATAGTTAATAAAAAGTATTTTATATAAACTTTTATTAATACTAGATATATATTATATGAAATAATTAATTCTTACTTTACTAATTAATATAATCTCTAATATATACTAATTATTACTAAATAAATAAAGGCTTTTAATAAAGTAATACTAGATATAATTAGTAAAATAGTAATATTTAGTATAAATATTAATAACTATTACAAATCTCATATTTTTCTTTATATAGTTTCTAAGATCTCTAGCTTAAATATAGTTTTAAATATATAATAATTTTATTTATAAGATTATAGCTATTTATCTTATTATTAGGAATCTTAATATAAAATAGAATAAGTAAATTACTAATTCTTAGCCTATAAATAATAAATTATATATAGGTCTTAATTACTTTATTTTCTTATTTAATTAAAAAAAGTAAGAAAAGAAATATAAAAGTTTTTTTAGCTAATTTAATAAATATTTAAAAAGCCCTAGTTCGGAAAAAGAAAATTAATTCTTATATAAAGCTTCTAAAATAGTATAAGAGTTTTTAAAAGATATTTTATCTAATTAAAATAAAGAAATTAATTATTAAATTAAATTAGAAAAAGTTAATAAAAAAGAACTTATTATATTATAGAACTTATTATATAATATATCCTGAAATAAGCTTCTAGTATTATAAAAATTACTTATAGAATTACTAAATAAAGAATTTATTTAAATAAGTTATTTTTCTATTACTATTTCTATTTTTTTATATAAAAACCTAATAAGAAATTATAGTTTTATATAAATTACCGGGGTCTAAATAAGCTTAAAAAAAAGAACTAATACTTGCTTTTATTAATTTATAAGATTCTTTAGAATATTAGAAAAGTAAAATAGTTTATAAAGTTTAATATTATAATAGGTTTTTATAAAATTTATATTATTAAAAAAAAACGGTCTTTTATATAAGATATAGATTCTGTAAATAATTAGTAACTACTTTTAATCTAATAAATACCTGAAAAATATTCTAGAAATATATTAATTAAATTTTTAGGGATTTTCTAAATAAGTTCTATTTTATTTATATAAATAATATTTTGGTTTATTTATTAAAATTAAAAGAAAAGTATTATAAATATATATAAAAAGTTTTCTAATAATTTTAAGAAATAAATTTATAGCTAGATATTAATAAATATAAATTTGAAATTGAATTAATAAAATATTTAGGATTTATTATAGAGGCCGGAAAAGATATTTATATAAATCTAATAAAGATTAAAGCTATTTTAAATTAGAAAGCCCCGAAATTAATAAAAGATATATAAAGTTTTCTAGAATTTATTAATTTTTACTAATATTTTATTTGAGAGTTTTTAAAAATTATTTAATTATTATTTGATTTTATATATAAAAATCAGGTATTCTTATAAATAAATAAAGTAAAAACTACTTTTTAAAAGTTTAAGAAAATATTTATTTTGGCTTTAATTCTAGTATAGTTTAATTATAACTGAGAAATAATTCTCGAAATAAACTTTTTCGAATAAAATATAAATAATATTCTTATATAAATTAATAAAAAAAAAGTCTTATAACTTTATATTTTTTTCTTGAAAAAAATAACTTTATAAAATATAATTATAAAATCTATAATAAGAAAATACTTATAATTATTTATTATTTAAAGAAATAAATTATAAAACTAAAAAATATTTACTAGTTTAAAATCCAAATAAATTATAAAAATCTAAAGTATTTTATAATAATATAGAAACTTACTAAATAGTAAATAAGGTAATTTTTAATTCTCTTATAATATAATTTTGAAATCTTATATATTTTAGGAAAGAATAATAAATAAGTAAATATATTTTTAAAATAAGAATAGAACTTTTTTAATAAAAAAGAAAATAACTATTATTAGTCTAAAATATTATAAAAACTAGAAAGCTTTAATAATTTTTCTAAAGATATAATTCTTATAATATTAGTATAAATAAGAAAATGGATTAAAAAAAGCTTTATTTAGTTTTCTAAGCTTAGCTTAAAAAATAAAAAATAAAAAAGAAATACCTAGCTAGAAAACTAATAAAATATAGAGATTTAATTTATAAATATAAATTAGTAAAAAAAGTAAAAAAAAAGAAAACGGCATTTCTTTTAAAATAAAAAGATCTTTCTATATTAGGCTTAAGAAGCTAAAAATAAAATAAAAGCTATAATAATAATAGATAAATAAAGTAATAAATAGGAAATAATACCTAAGATATATTATAAAAGCTTTAGTATAATACTTAAAAGAAAAGCAAGCTATATTAGGCTATAATTAAAATAATATAAAAAAAGAAATAAATGTTTTTTACTAATTTAAAAATTAAAATATTAATAAGGAAATATTTATTATTTTAATTAAAATAATTTCTTTTCTAGAAATAATAATAAATTCCCGATTTAGAAAAGCTTTATATAAAGCTAATTTAATAAACTTATAACTCGATTTAGTATAGCTATCTAGAATAGAATATTATAAATACCTTTTTTATATAATAATTCTTTTAGTTAAATATATTAAAATAAATATACTAGTTTATATAAAACTATAATATTTAAAAAGAAATATATAAAGAAACTATTATTAGAAGTTCCTAAAGCCTTTTTTATTTCGAATTAAATCTAATAAAAGATTTTAATTAATTTTATAATAGAACTTTTATTAAATAAAAAATATACTAATATAATAATATTATAAATTATTTAGAAAAAGAAGTAATACTTGAGTCTATAATAAATATTATAATAAAAATAATAGTAAAATAGTTTATAAGAATTTATTATTACTAATATAAGTTTCCGAAAATAATAGTTTCTAATTATAGAAAATAATTTATAAAAGTATTATAGACTAGAATATATAAATTACTAGATATTATTTATTAATTATTTATAATATATTATTCTAAAATAAATAGGTTTATAAAAAGAATAAACTAGATAATTAAAACTTTTCTTTATATTTTTATAAATTATAATTAAATAAACTAAATAACTTTCTTATTATATACTAAATTAGTAATTAATAATCGGAATATTTTATTTATAGAAATTATATTAAGCTAATATAATTCTAGAATAAAATTAGTAAAAAATGCAAAGAACTATTATTTATTTAAATAATAGATAATATTATATATAAGCTTTATAATATATAAGAATAAATATAAGCTATAATAATAATAGTTTAGTAATTTCAAAAGAAAATAATAAACTAAAAAAAAAACTAGGTTCCGGAATTTAAGATTAGAAATAAAGTTTAGTTTAATTTCTAGAATATTCGAATAAATAGGCTAATTAAAAAGCTTAATACGAAATATATTAAATATATAATAATTAAAGTAATAGAAAGCTATAGTTTTTAGTTTAATATTTTCCTAGAAATATATAATATATATTATAATAAGCTTCTTTAACTAGTTATAATAAACCTATTACTAAGCTAGTTTTAATATAACTTATAGCTATAACTATAACTTATAAGTAATAAAAACAAGTATAAAATTAAATGAATTTTTAATAAGAAATATATAAAATATAATTAGAAGCTCTTAAAAAAGCTATTTATAAAATAAAAGAATTATATATATTTTATATAGAAATTATATTTTATATTTAAGGAAATAATAATATTAGAAGCTTAGAAAAAAGTTATTTAATAAAAAGAAGCTTTGCCTATATATTTATAAAGCTAATATTTATAAATAAGAAAAGAAATAATATAGTAAATAAAAACCCGATTTATATATTTAGCTAAAAGCCTTTACTAAATTATATAATAAAGGCTCTGGCTTTTATTATATAATATTTTTTTTGAGTAAATAAAGTAATTATATATTATTTAAAAAATATAAATATTTTAGGAAATATAGTTTTATTTCTTTTTATTTTTTTATTTTTTTTATTTTTAAAAAATTCTATTTAGTTAATTAAACTACTAATCTTTTTTATATAATACTTTAGCCTATAATAAAAGTACTTTTTAGGTTTAAAAGTAATAAATATAAAAGTAGTTAATAAAGCAAATATTAAAAGAACTAATATAGCTAAATTATTATCTAATAAATTAGAAAGAAATAAAAGCTCTAATTAGTTATTTAATAAATCAGAAAAATTAAATAAATCTTTAAAAATAGCTATAATAATAATTAAAATAAAGTAAAAAATATAAAGTATTTTTCTAATTAATTAGGATTAGAGTTTAGAATTAAATATATATAAAAAGATATATATTAGGGCTAATTACTCTTTTTTTACTTGCTATTAATTAGTGAACTCGCCTATTTTTATAAGCATTTAGAGGCATTTAGTACCTATTAAGCTATATAAGCCTATATTAAGCCTTTAGGGCATTTTTAGTAAGCTTATAAGGGCTTATAGGAAACTAGAACTAGTTATAGAGAAATTAAAGTAAGATATTATAGGGGATTTAGTAGCCTTTATAAAATAATACCTTATATTCCCGATATCTTATATTATTATTTTTGTATTAGAGTCCTAACTAGTTATTCTATATATTTAGCTAATAGTATAGCGGATATACTACTGTATTGTGGTGGGGATTTTATTTCCTGGGTCACGTGGTTTTGTCATGTGACCTCCGGACTTCCGTATAGTCCGCAGTCCGCTTATATTACCCCTCTCTCCTTCTTAGTTCTTAGAAATCAACCAACCTTCACTCTCTAATTCCAGGTCTCACTCGTACGCTGTGATCCCACACTGTGGAAGCCCATTCTACACTCTATATTACTCCGTGTTTTATATCCCCATTACAGTATTACTAATATTTCAGCGTGAATAATTGAATAGTATTGAAAATTTAGGAATTGCAGTTACTTTAATCTGAGTTAATCTCTTATAAAGAATAGACTAGTTACAGTAACCTCTTTCTCAAGTTCTTTCTCAGCTCCTTCCTCAATGCCTTTCCCAACTCCTTTTTCAACTCCTTTCCCAACCCCATCCCCGCCCATATCTTCCTCGGTCCCTTCCCAAGCTATTTCCTAGGCTACTTCCTCCACAACCCCCTTTTCGACCCATCTTCCTTCATCCATTTCCTCCATCCTATCAGTCCAATTTTCAATGCCATTTTCCTTAACCATCGCGTGGCTTTCACTCCGTACCAAAAAGAAGAAACATCTATACCCTACCTTAGACCGGCTCCGATAGCTTATTTTGTTCGATGCGCTTACCAGATCCAAGGGGGGGGGTAACGCCAATCCCTACGCTGATCCGGTCGACTCCGAACCCGAATACCAGGGACAGGTAAGCGAAATGAGTAAACCCACACGAAAGTCAGACTAGCTAATCATGGCTCAAGAAACCCAAGTCTGGGCTCCCCGGAGTATGGAATCACGGTACAGGTTAGGTTAGGTTAGGCTATAAAGGACATAACAAAAGAAACATTTATCGGATCTGGATCTCCTCGAACCTTGCCCTTCTGTTTTCGCACAGCTCCTTAGCCTCACCCTCCATGAGCCCAGGGATATTACATGTCCCAATAAGGATATAGTAGTCTTCCTGCTTTCGTAAAATCACTGGGACTTTGCAGCCATTTAGAATAGCTACTATATCGCCAGGACGTGAGAACCTAGGTGCCATACCTAAGTATCCACCCTCAACCTCTATAAAGCGGAAATACTCTTGAACAGCTTCATTTGCTATTTGTATTCTTTTCATTTCTCTGTCCACATACTCCTGGCTCAAAAATTTGTCCAAAAATTCTTGCCTCTCGAAACTTTGACCAGGGAAGAAAATATTGAAGAAAGCGTCGGAAAATGTGTCGAATAATTCCAAATTTGCTTGTAGAGATTGTTTGGTACCCGGTGGGGGGTGTCGAAGACACCGAAGAAAGCCAATAGCCAGTCTTACAATTGGCTCTCCAAAGACGACGGTAGAGTTTTTGTCGCTTTCTTTTTCTTTGACCATGTTCGTGACCAATTCAAATATAGCTTTCAATGGGTGGATCCCTCTCGCTTGAGAAGGAGCACGCCGAACAAAATCTTGAGTAAACCCCAATAGTTGTGCAGCAAGGGAATGAACGACCTCATGGACTTTGACGACTGGCGGACCCAAAAGGCTTGAAATATGCAGTGCCGAATCGGTGAATGCCGGAGTTTGGATTGTATGGAATACGTTCTGATCTGCGTGGCCTAATCTAAAGCACCACGACCCATGCCCCCCCTTCTGTGAAATGAATTGGAAGTTTGGGGCCCACGATGGCAAATTCTCGAAAGCACCCCCTCGATCGAAAGTTCCGACACCGGCGTATAATAGACAGTCCAATTTGTTGGAATCCTTTATCCAAGTATCCACAAGGTCATATAAGACTGAACAGAGATCTTTCCGGTAGTCTGGGACAATAGCAAAGTCTTGGAGGCCAAGGAGTCCGTAAATATGATCCCGTGGATCAGTAGCACAGAGCGTAGATGATAAAAAGAAAATATCCCAAGAGTCCCCCGGGTCCTTTGTTTTGTATAACTTCACTCTAAGCATTGGCCCAATATTAACCTGATTGTAGCTTAATATGAACCAAATCCAGTGGCCTAAAAAGCTCTGCCTTTTTAGGCTGCCGCTCAAGATCCATTTTCTGGTAGAATTAAACCAGCTGCTTGCTTGATCCAACTCCTCATATGTTAGAGATGTGGATCCATGTATCAAGAGAATTCGTTTCCCTAATACTAGCTCCTGAAATATCCAGACGCGCTGCCAGTACGGAAGTCCAAAGAAATTTCGAGTCGCCTTCCAGGGTCCTGGAAACGCATCCCAGGGTGCCTCATCCCCAGTCTCTTTGGGTTCAGCGTACCAAGTAGGGTAGCTTTTCAACCACTCAAAACTAGCCTCTGGGCTACTTAATTCCCTTGTTTCCTTCGCTATCGTTTTAAGAGCCTTAAGAGCGACGTCGATCTCATCGATTCTATGGCCAAGCCATGAGAGGACTAATTCTGCTTTCGCATATATATCTCTCATGAGATTAACTTGGCTACTTCGTTCTTCCGGATCTTTTTGGTTGATGCAAATAGCGTCCGCCCAAATTCGGAAGAGCCCTGGGTTTCGATCGGGGAAAGCGTTACACCAGTGAGCCTTCACATGCTTTAAAGCAGCCGCCAAGTTTGTCGTAACCGGAAAGATTTCATTATTAAGAATAATGTCTTTAGTAACTTTTGGGTCGCCCCATACGTAAGAAAGCGCTGCGAACTCCACATTGTCCTCGAGCGACGAGACGCTTAGTTTGCACTTGACCTTCTCGCTGCCACCGATAGAGATGATCTCAATGAGGCGGATTTGAGAGCGCCGCTGGTCTAGCGGTTGATATATAGTTTGCATCGACTCCATGCTGTGGTAGCAGGCAGATTAAATATCCTCAAGGGTCTAAAACTAACAAATCAGAATGTCAGAACTGAGCAATGTTGATATTTGATTGGCTCAGGGATTATACCTTGTCGACGCCTGATACCAGAGGCTCTCGGGGTCGCGAGACCAATATCGGACGAAGGAGAAAGGCTGCTCGTCGTCAAGGCAAGACAAGTGTCCCGGTGTCCGGCAAGGGCAAGGAATATCGTAACCGGAAGTCGTAAAAGACCTTCGCAAGTTTTAAGACTTGGCGTGTTGGGAATAAGACAGGAGAAATCTCTGACTTTTGATAGGGCTTTGGGAAGGCTGTATCGCGGTTGGGGAGGCTCGGGTTCTGTCAGATAAAAAGGAGGAATTGATTAAAGAGCTGAAAAGTGGGCAGAGCTGAGACTAAATGCACTGATGGCTGCTGCGCCCCTTCCGGAGCACCGCTCGGTCGTTGGTAGCGGCTGGAGTCGATAGTGTCGAGGTCGTGGTTCAACGGAGGGAGGCTAGATGTAGAAAGAGGAAATAGCCGCTATCGACAAGAATGGAGGATAAAGGGAGGGAGATGGGGTAACACATCCAGACAACCCAGCAGGTAGTAGAAGCAGCTCCTTACACGCTAGCCTCGTCGGCAGCGGTCGCTAATAATGCTAGCCCCTCACGTGTCCGGTAAGTTATGTACAAGTTAAGTTTCGCTAAACCTAAAAAGTCGGGGTTTGCAAAGAACTCGCTTTTGCTAATATCTGTTTTACTATACTAGCTTAGGGGTATTCGATACTAGAAAAACTAATATTTTAAAGAAATATTAATAGTCGGTTTCTCTTCTTTATCCGCTTTACTAATAGTCAGGGAAATCAAGTATTTTATTAGGGAAATCCGAGGCTAGTAAAATATCCCGAAAAATACAACTTTTTATTATATATTTAGTTTCTTTTATTATAATTAATATCCTATATTTCATTTAATATATCCGGAATTCCTCTTATTAATTTATTTTATATTAGATAATTCTTTCTTAATTACTACTATTACTTATATAAAACCAAGTTTAATTATAATTAAGCTTTTAATATTATATACTTTTAGGTTATAAATAATTTTATAGAAATTTTAGCTTTATTTACTAAAATATATTATATTAAGAAAGAAGTATTAAAAAAGCTAATATTATAATTTAAGAATAAAAAGCGAAATATAAATAATTTATATAATTTAGATAATAAAAATAATAAGATTTTAAATAAAATATATAAAAAAAGAATTAAATAATATTATTATAAATAATAAAAGTAAAAGATTAAAATAATATATAATATAATACTTTTAGCTATTACTTTCCTTTATTTTATATATCTTTAGGTTTTTTATTCTAAATTTAATTAGTTATTATTAGAAATAAAACTTTCTTTAATAATTTATTAACTAGTTATATAATTATAAAATATTTTGAATTATTAAGGTAAAGCTAGTTATTTATATATAACTTTATTCTTATATTAGATTAAAAGTTAAATAGTAATTTAATAATTATTATATTATTCTTTAAAAGTATAAAATTATAAAAGCTAAAAATATTATTAATATAAATAAATTAGAAGCTTGAATTAAGGCTCTAATAAAAAATATTAAAAAAATATTATTATAAGCTAGCTCTTTATATAAAGAAAAGTAATAGTTTTAATATAAGAAAAAATAACTAAAGAAAGAAAACGAGAATTTTATTCTTATATAAGCTAAATATTATATACTTTTATAATTATAATAATAAAGGTTATATAATTAAATTATATAATTGAATTCAAATTATATATCTAATCTATTATATTATTTTCCTTTCTATAAAGCTAGAGGTCTATTTGTTTTTAAAGTTACTAGAATTAAGTTTCTCTAGAATTTTATTAATTTAATATATTTTTAAAATATTAATCTTTATTATATAACTTCTAGAATTAGCTTCTAATTTAATTAGTATTAAATATATATAATTCTGTATTTAATAGCTCATATTACTATAATATAAATAAAGACTCTTTTTTTTATAAGCTTTAGTTATATTTTTTAAAACCCGTTTTATATATATTTTTAAAGCAGTTTCTTAATTTATAATTATATTATATAATATAATATAGCAGACTATACTTATTAAAAATCATGTTATTTTAGTAATTTTAAGGTTTAGGTTATATAGTAAAGGCTATAGCCTTTTATATATAACTAGTATAGGCTCTAATAAATTATTAATTAAAATTATTAATTAGTAATTATTATTAGCTAAGCGATTAATAAATAATTAATATTAATAATTATTATTAATAAAAGTGGGCCCAGTTATTAAACGAGCTCTATTACGGCTTTCTAGTTTAATTATAAACCGATTAGTATTAAAATTAGTATAAAAGTATACTATTATTATTATATTATTAGACCTTTTAACTTTTTATTTAATAGTCTATTATATAATATAGACTAGCTAGTATTTAATCCAGTTATTAATAATTCCATTAATAAAAGTAGGCCTAGCTAGCTATTAAGCAAGCCCTATTACCTTAATAATTCTATTAATAAAAGTGGGCCTAGCTAGCTAATAAGCCCTATTATATAAATATCTCGCTTTCTAGTTTAATTATAAACCGATTAGTATTAAGATTAGTATAAAAGTAAACTATTATTACTATATTATTAGACTTTTTAATTTTCTATTTAATAGTCTATTATATAATATAGACTAGCTAGTATTTAATCTAGTTATTAATAATTCTATTAATAAAAGTAGGCCTAGCTAGCCCTTAAGCGAGCCCTATTACCTTAATAATACTATTAATAAAAGTGGGCCTAGCTAGCTATTAAGTAAGTTCTATTATATAAATATTTCGCTTTCTAATTTAATTATAAACTAATTAGTATAAAGATTAATATAAAAGTAAATTATTATAAATATACTATTATACTTTCTATTTAATAGTCTATTATATAATATAAACTAGCTAGTATTTAATATATAAAACTAAGATTTATATTGTTATTTCTTTTAAAAAAGATTAAACTTTTTATACTTTCTTTTATTCTTTTTTTAATATATAATAGTACTTTATTTTCTATTATTTAAATATAGCTTCTAAATCTGCCTTATTAATCTATTAAGCCTCTACTAATATAAACTCGACTTAATCCAAATCTAATTCTAAATAAAAAGAACTTATAAGAACTATTTGGGCTTATACTTGTCTCGGGTATTTAGATATAAGAGAACTACTCAAATACTATTATTATTTTTCTTATAAAAAGAAAAATCTATTAAATATTTATTTGATTTTAGTCTTTATTAATTAATATAATTATCTCAAGTTAGTATATAATATTATTATTAAGAACAAATCGGAAATTAGTCTACTTTAATTAAAAGTAATTAACTAGCTATAATAGCTTTATTTATAAGTAAATTTATCTGGCTAAATAACTAAAATTAATATATATATCTTTTAATAATATCTTAATAGGGTAGTAATTTATAAAGCTTTAATTTTATTAATTATTATTTATAATCTATTTTTTTGAGTAATATAGTATAATAGGCTATACTTATTAAAAATTATATTATTTTAGCGGTTTTGAGATTTAAATTATATAATAAAGGCTATAGCCTTTAATATATAACTTACGGAAATTATATAAGAAAGCTAGTTTTTCTATAGACTTAAAAAATAATTCTTTATAAGTATTTAATTAATTAAGTTTTTATATACTATATATTATTTATATTTTTGATTTATTATTTTATTATTAAATTATGTTTTATATTCTAATATACTTTATATAAGTTTTTGTTTTATTATAATTTCTCTCTTATATATTTTATAATAAGTAATATAGGGAAAATAGAAACTTTATAATTAAGGTAATACTTTTATAAAGTTCTAAGAAGTATTTATAAGGCGGATTATTAGCTTAGTAAGTTAGGAAAGAAAAGGGCTATTATAATACCTTAAGCCTAAAGCTAAAATATTAAGAATATATATATATTAATTTTAGTATCTTATATTAATTTTTAATATATCTAGTAACTTGAATATAGGTTAGCTATAAGATAAAGTTACTAGTATAATATATAGAAGTAATAGAAATAGAAGCTAATTATAGAAGAAAAAGAAGTAAAGGAAATAAAATAAGAAAAATTATACTAAGATAATATAAATTAGATCTTAGTTAGAAATAGACTTTAGTATTTAGAAATAAAGTTATACTATTAATTTATATATTATTTTTAGTTATAGTAAAGACCGGAATAGAGGTAATATTAGTTTTAATAAAAAAGCTTATTCCTAAGTCCGGAAAAAATATTTAAAAAAGAAAATACCTTTAATTTTAAGTAAAATAGTAAATAGAAATCGGAAATAAGAATTAAAAAGAAATAAGAAATAAGAAATTATATAAATAAACTAGAGAAGCTTCTAGAGAAAGAAATAAATACTAAATAGAAAAACAAAAAAGAATTTAGAAAAATCAGAAAAATTAGCGAAATTATATTTATTATTTTTATTATTACTTTTAATAATATTAATAGATATATTTAGTTTAGTAAAATCAAGGGGAAATATTATAAATATTAAGCTAAAGAAATAGAAAAGAAAGTATAAGTAATAGAAATAAGACTAGAAAAGCTATTATCTTATTATTACTAATACTAAAACTCGAATCTTAATTATATCTATTATTATTAACTAGTTTCTCTCTAATTCCGGTTCCTAAATTAAAAAATATACTTAAATAAGAAATTAGTTTTTTAGGAACCTTATTAGTAAAAATCTCAGGTATAGAAACTCTATAATTAATTATAAAAGAAATTATTAAGATTAATATAACTAAAAATAAGTATATACTAGTATTAGGTTTAAACCTATTATTTATAGGAACTCCTGAAGTACTATAGTTTTAGGGAAGTAATATTTCTATATTTTTGAAATAATATATAAATATATATAAGAACTATT